TAGTATTGCAAGGCACGTTTAACGCCGGGTCCCCCTGCTTTACAAAAACATATAATTAATGCAACATTTGAGCCGAAGCGTCCGCTTCGGTCGCGATTGAGCGATCTTTCAAGACTCACTGCTGCAAGTCGTAATCTAGTATCTTTTTTGTGGCATCTTTCCTTCCTCATTCTGAAGGTATAACATCTATACCAGACAAGACTTGTTGAAGAAAATAAAAAAAGATAAAATATAATATCGTCATACGCTCTTAATGCTTAATTCGGAACGCACCCCAACACACCCCAAATCAATATCGAACTTTGAACGTTTTTTCGCAGAGTGGGGAAATTTCGCCCACAAAGCTTCGCTGCATAAAATTATACCTATGCAGATTATACAAAGATGAACGATCAATGTTGATTGATCGTCTGAGATATCCACTTCGAGCTCCGGTTTCGGGATCTCCGAGATGTCCACTTTCAGCTTATAAGTTTCTCTTTGATGCAACCTTCAAAAATAAAAAGATGAGAAGGTTTGTTGGAGTTTGAGAAAAAAAAGAAAACAGAAATGTTTAGTTCGCATCGTAAATGTTCGCAAATGTTTGTAAAAGTTCATCAATATACATATATAAATCAACCGATATATATGCAACTTTGTATATTATAAAAATTAGTAATTTTCAAAAATGTTTTGATCTCCAAAAACGGAAGCGTAATTATTGACAGTCTGCAACTAGTGTGTAATGAAAAAATTATCTAATAAATATTTAATAAATACTTGTAATAGATACAACACAAAAGACTGTATATTATAAAAATTATATATACCTCGGTATATGTTTTTTACATTATTTAAATGAGATATTCGAAAAATAAAGTTTGATTTGTATTATCGATGTTATCAAAATATGGTTAAATAAAGCCTTTCCGTTTGAACAACGACATATTATTGAATGCAGATCTCGCGCGACGTAAATTCTTTTCTCGAGAGATTATCAGGAGACGCGGTATAGTGTCTTCTACCATGTTCAAAAAACTATTACTTAATTTAAATTAAAAAATTAATAAAAGGTACACTATACACAAGTCTCTTATCCCGAGCCATCATCAAAGTCCATTTTTGAGGGATTCATAACTACTAAAATATAAAAAATTTTAAATCGCACGTAATATATCCTGAAAGACGGCATGAGTAATTTGAGCTAAAAAAATTTAAAATCGATCAAGCCGTTCCTGGACATACAAGCGGTCAAAAAGTGATGATTTTCATGAGAAATGAAATAACTTCTTCTCCTTCTCCTCCTCCTTCTTTGTCCGCAGTCATGTACACATGTCACCTCCACCAACTTTGACCCACTACACTTCACCCCCTTGACCCACAAACTTTCACCCCCTCCCCCTCCCCTTTCTCCCCACCGCCCGTCTCTTTCACGAAATTTCACTCTTTCGTTATATAATATCTTTTTAAATCATTTTTTAAATATATTTTTGATATATCTGTATTCTAAAAAGTAAGTGGTATCCTAAAAAAAAAATTATATCATAAAAATGAAAAGGTTAAGCCATATTCCAAAAAAGATCCTCAAAAATTTAAACCTTTTTATCTAATAATAATATATTAGTTACTTTTTATAGTAATATATTAGATAAAAAGGTTTACATTTTTGAGGATCTTTTTTTGAACATGGCTTGACCTTTTCATTTTTTACTCGCTTATACACGTTACCTTACGAAACAACTGAAATCAATATTTTATCGTATTATTTTTTCTGTAATTGATGTATTGTATACTTGGAAGGAGGGAACTTGGGAAACCGATATCATCAGTTAGATGGTTAGAAAACTTGCAATTATAGTGTCAAAAGAATAAACGTTTCGTCAGACCACTCTTACCACAAAATGTACATACGTGTCAGTCATCGTGAGATGCGACATACAAAAAATTATTTAGTACGGATTGGCAAGTATAATAGTATGTATGATAAAGTTTCATTATAAGAGAAAGAGAGAGATAGGTCAGGTCCGTAATAGCAATTCTCTCAATTTGTTGATCGTGACACAGGAGAGAGGACAACACAACTAATATACGAGCAGTACGGAGCGCAAAGTTTCTTCGAAAGCTATGGAATCTATTTGCAGTCATTATTATAATATCGTTTATAAAATATCATCTTTTACTGGTATGTGGCCATATTTAAAGCCAAAAACAAGAATATTTCGTATCGCCTTGTTAACTATAATCTTGTTAACTATACTGATACCACAGGTAATTGGCAATATAATATTGTACTGTGTGATTATACACTACTCAACAAAATCTAGATAACACTTTCGGACACGCTAAAAATTGGACAATATTCAGAACACCGTAACTCGGTGAAAAATCATCGCAGATAAACAATTAAAAAAGAATTTTAAAGGTTGAAATCTGTACTTTCGAAATCTATAATTGAAATTTTAATGTGACCGCGATACTTTACGGAGTTATATAGACACAAATGGATATCCGTCAAATCTAAAAATTTTTCACAAACTTTACAAAGGTCTATGGCGTGAAGTAAAAATTACACGAAAATGCACAGCAGCCGAAAGAGTGAAATCTTCACGTTTAATTTGCTTTTTTATTGAATGTTGTACGATTTTTTTTCACCGAATTATTGGACGCGTTGAAAAAAAAGTGATCACTTTTAGGCGAGCGGTTCACCCCCATTTTGCGTTCATTAACCGATCGATCAAAGTTCTAGTGTCTAAAAATGATTGGATTCGATTCCTCATATTATTCTGAGAAAAAGCATCTATATACACTTTATTTGTTTAAGTGGTCATTAAAAAGTTATAAACATTTTTTTGTTTAAAAAGTCTAAACTTTGAACAAAAATTTCGAAAAAATTCTGTAAGCTTAATTGGATCAAAATAAACATTTTTTGTTTCTCAGACTTTTTTGATAAAATCAATAGTTTTCGAGATAAAAAATATCAAAGCTTGAAAAATGACTACCTTTACGATTTCTTTTCTCACAAACTAATCGTCCAATCAGTACGAATAAAAAAACGAAAATATTCGGCCAATCTTAAACGAGGAATTTTTTTATTTTCATCCGTACTGTTATTGATAGTGAAAACTTTATTAGAATGAAGCTCTGAAGGCGCGTCCGCGGCGCGTGAGCGGTCTCGATGCGACGCCGCCGAGTCGTTAATAGTATATCACAGCTATTAAAAGATTTTAACAAATTTACTGGCTTGTAGCTTTGTTTCTTTTATTAGTTTTAAATTTATTGAGCCATATTAACAACATATTTCAATTATAGATTTCGAAAGTAGAGATTTCAACCTTTAAAATGCTTTTTTAATTTTTTGTCTGCGATGATTTTTCACCGAGTTACCGTGTTTTGTATATTGCCCAATTTTTAGCAGATTTGAAAGTTTTCCTTAGATTTTGTTGAGTAACTTACTCTTTTGTCAGCGAGGTAATTGCCGACAAAAGAGTTTGTTAGGAAAATTTTACATAATCGATACTTTTTTTACAGATAGCATATCAATTTATGTGCAAACGAAACTTGCATTGCACTTTTCAGGCAATGACAGCGTATTTATTATCATTTGTGGCTTTACTGAAGATGTATACCTTCCAATTCAACATTCATACAGTACGTTTTTTAACTTGCGTATCGAGTATTAGGAGTACTTCAGTAAATATAATATGTTCAAATTAGAAAATTAGACATTAATTAGAAATTTAATAAACAGTAAAAAGAAATAGATATACTTTTTTGTTCTTTTTTATAAATTTTGTATACTTAAACATAAGACAAATTTTAATACGGTGCTCTTTAATAGATTAAAAATCTTACTCAACACTTGCTTTACGATTGGAAGGAATTAAATTCTTATGAAGAATACGAAATAATGAAGTCCTACGCTGCAAATGGCAGACGATTTTCTTTGATATATTCCGGTGAGATAAAATTGATAAATGATTGATTTAGATTCGCGACACACACACAAACACACACACACACACATATATATAAATATAAAAAATATGTGATATATATATAAATGTATATGTATACAGGATGAGGCATTTAAAACAGGTCATCTGAATAACTATAGCTTATTTTTAGGGAATCCTTAAGCAAAGTTCGAACTCTAACAAAATCGCCAGATGTCGCTGTTTTTTACAACACATCGACATATCTTTTATATACTACCACATTAATATCTCACGCAGCAGTGATGCACGCAGTTGCATTATCTGTCAATTTTCGTATCGTAAATTCGTCGCGATAAAGTGTCCAAGTCTAATTCTAAGAACTCCACGCTGTTTCTTCATGCAAACTACGTGAACTACTATTTCTTAAGTACAAATTGCGCAACTTTTATATAAAACAAATATATTTTATTTAAATTCGATTAATTTCACGATTATTTAGTTTATGTTCTTATATATTATATTAATGTAGCGTGTTTAACATTTCATATGAATATATCAACGTTAAGATGATATTTCTCGTTTTTACTTTTGACTCTCATTTGCTTTTACATTGTTTGTTTTATATAAAAGCTGCGCAATCTGTATACTTAAGAAATAGTAGTCCATAGGCATGTAGTTTGTATGAAGAAACAGCGTGGAGTTCTTAAAATTAGATTTAGATGTCTAATTAAAACATAATTACGATACAAAAATCTACGTGTATATGTGTGGTGTGCGTGAGTAAGATATTGATGTGTCACGACACGTAATCGTCTGTGTGTAAGATGTCTTAAGGATCCCCTTAATGATAGAAGGAAAAGTATCAAATAAAAATTGCTTGGTTTCGAAGGGCGCATAATGTATACTATACATGTATATACATATATATATATATGTGTGTGTGTGTATATATTGTGTGTGGAGTGTGTTTATATACATATACATATGTATATATACGTTTACACAAGTCGTGTTTTTCATAAGTATTAATTTCGCTAATACAGTACATACATTGCAGTATATTGCTTCACAGCGATAATTGTGTTCATGTCAATGTCCCTTGTACCGCATACTCTCGATATCATATTGCCTCTCAACGAATCCCGTCCCGTATTACCGCCATATCGAGGATACTACTTTGTAGATATCCGAGAACATTTTTTTCAAATATTCTGGCATGCCATTGTGGCCTGGGAAATTGTTATAGCCGGTATAATTGCCCACGATTGCTTGTTTGTAACGTATGTCGAACATGTTTGTAGCAAATTTGCTATAACTGGGTAAGAAAATTATTTACATATGACACAAGCAAACAAAACTGCCTTATAGCATGTTATATATATATATATATATATCTTGTAATAATAGAGACACTTTTGAAATTAAATGGCGTGTCGATATTACGCAAACTATTTACAGATTTCATTATGAACACTTGTTTCACGATTGTAAAAATAAAATGGAAATTGTATCATCGAGAACCCCTAACGATACTATAACGTATTCCAAGAGAGTTGCATTCCTCGTACGTAAACACCGCGAAGCTTTAGAGTGAGTGTACGATGTAAATAGTAAAAATAAGTAATACGAAACGTAACATGCACATTTGCATAGACGTACGTAAATGTGCGTGCGCGTGTGTATGTATGTGTATGCTCACACGGTAAATAAATTCTTTACGATTGAAATTTTTCATTTATCACAGATATGCACAACTTCTCGAAGATACATTTACCATACCTTTTGCTGTGCAGATACTAATAGTAACAATAGGGATGAGCATTACTTTGCTGCAAGTACGTCTGATTATTACATTTTTTTAAACCGAGAGCGACATTCTACAAAGAATTCAAATATGTATATGGTATGTATTTCTTATACTACAGATTACGCAGGATAAAAGCGATATCTTAGAAGCAACAAGGTACATGTTCTATATTGTTGGCCAACTGATTCATTTGTTTTTTCTTTGCTTCGAAGGACAAAGGTTGATAGATCACAGCCTTCAGACACGTAATAAGATGTAAGATGATATTTTACTTACTTTCGATTCATTTAAACAATATATGTGACTCATATAGATACAATTAAGTATATATATATGATACGTTGACTGCCGTTCGTTTCTCACGCTTACGCGCTGTAACATCATTTTCTATCTTTTTTCTACAAGTATCGAGCAATAATGATAGGTTGAAGCTTACAGTACGTGAGCGTGAAAAACGAACGCAGCTGTTTTTTTACCTAGGTATTTCGTGTATCTTAAAAATATCGCAGGTATAACAGTTTCTGGTATAAAGCATCCGTGAAATTTCAAAAGATAATCATGCTAGTGATGATGAAAAGTCTTCATCCGAGTTTCTTAAGCGCCGGAAAAGTTTACATTTTCTCTCTACAGAGCTTCACTATGGTAAAACAATAAAAATTGTCGCAAATGTTCTTTCGGAACATTTTTAATAATATTGAATGAATAATATCTTTCTTACCTTAGGTTCTACAAACCTCGATGTCGTACTTTACGGTACTCGCGTCCTTTCATCAATAACTTACTTCCTACCCAGCAATTGAACGATGACAACAATGATAATGTATATTTTGTGTGTGTGTGTGTGTGTGTGTGTGTGTGTGTGTGTGTGTGTGTGTGTGGTGTGTATTTTTAATACTTTTATTACAATATATTTACTTTTGTTAACCGCATATGCTAACGTAATGTTTATATAATATACTTGTCTAGAGAATTTATATTGTATGTTAAATTTTACTAAATGCAGTGGCAATATTTATTAAAACCTGAATTTCGACATGACAGCATGGTAATAGAATAGCTAAACCAAAGCGTCCAATTACAATATATAGTATATATAAACTTTATCTGAAAGGATCGATTTGCGGATCAATTGATTTCGATCGCACAACTATATATTCACTCCTATCCTGCCATAATGCTGTACATATGTATACTGTGTACACGTATTTATGTAATTTTCAAATCCATGAGAAACAGGATCAAGCTCTAATATATTATATAATAAAGAAAAAGAAACAAAATCTCTTGTAATGCTCGAATCGAGCATATATATATATATATATATATATATATATATCTATATAGTTGTGCGACATTGCAATTCACAAAATTGTTACGTTTTGATAATATCGTAATTTTGACTAATCCATCGGCGAATCTCACGACGGGATTGCATTTTTTTTTGGTATTTCGTTCAGTTTGGTACGAATTGGTGCGATTTGGAAACTTTGGCAACCGTATGTTCAAAGCATCCGCGCCAGGGTTCTTTCTTTTTAGAACTACACCACCGATTAAGATAAGAGTATCATTATGAAACATGTATAGTACTATAAATTTTACTTCCTAAATGAGGAGATTGGTTTCAGAACTAACGCAAGTGAAAAAAGTACTCCGTTAATCGATAAATTCCATTTGAAAAAACTTGCTAACATAAGTATATCTTGTAAGTGATACGCCTATCAATAGGGTTTCACCTCTGTCTACATTACATTTAGTGTCAAAAGAATAAGTACGTACTACTATCCTCCATATGTTCGACAAGTTAGGCGTCATTTATTCGCGGAAGTGTCGCAATAGCTATGAGGAAATCCAATTGTAGGTATATAGCGTTTACATTATGCATGACCTGTTCAGGATCTCAAACCATTTCTCGTACGAAGGGAGTCTTGGGTAAAATAATAAAAGTCTGAGAAATGAGTTATCTAGACAAAGTCGGAAACGAAAGACTATCACGAAAACTATGAACGCCAACTGGAATCACTATTATGGTCTTACTAAGAAAGTATCATCATTATCCGGCCAGTGGCCCTATCAGAAACCAATAACGAGATTATTCTGTACGATCTTGATGACTTTGAACACGATTTCTATGATTATTCCACAGGTAATCGTCGCAGTTTTCAATAAAAATTAAATAACAGTTAAAGAAATAATGAGTTTTACTTTCTAGATAGCTAAATTTGTTAGATGCAACGGAAACTTACAATGCATCTTTGAAACTATGACATCCTATATGTTGACAACTATAACACTGGTGAAGTTGTATACGTGTTATTTTAACCGATGTAAAGTACGTGAAATTATTAATTTCTTATATAAACGTTCATACTCGAGAGAATATCTTAAATCATATAAGTATATATATGTGCGTTGTATGTTGTATGTATTTGTGTTGTATTGTTAGAGCGTATTATTAGATTATGAAATAAAGAGTATTATTAATCGGTGGCATGCACCCCTAGATGAAAGTCCTCATTGATCAATTATTCGTTGATTGGAACGAATTGGAGACATCAGAAGAACATGAAATTATGGAGAGATATGCCAAGAACAGCATGCGATATTCTTTGGGATACTCATGTAAGAATAATGAATCATGCGATTTCCATCTTTATGCATATTTCTTGCTTACATTTATTGTTTACGAAATTACAATTTAGGTATCAATTGTTAGGCGAACGCTTTATCTATATGTTGTAGTGTATTATTATTCTGGTGTGTTTGTATTTATATCCCTATCTCTCATACCGCAAGTGTTGGATGTTGTTTTACCTCTGAATGAATCTCGTCCTATACTGCCGATATATCCAGGATATTATTTTGTTGATGAAAAAAAATATTTCTTCTATATTTTCTCACATGCTATTATGGCTTGGGAAATTGCTGTGACTGTGATACTCTCCCACGATTGTATGCTCTTAATTTACATCGAACACGTCTGCAGTATTTTCGCTTTAGTAGGGTAAAAGCAACATAGTCTTATTTAGCAAATTTGACGCCATACGCATATATCATTGCAATTAATTATATTTGCAGATTTCGGTTTGAACGACTAATATACAATAATGCCATGAAAATTTTACATTCTCATACAAGCAACACGTGCTGCAAACGAATTGCATTCTCCGTGTATACGCACCGAAAGGCTTTAAAGTGAACAATCTGTCAATTATATCTATATAATATATAATAGATAGAGAAATTTCGATTTTTATTATCATCATCATATTCCTTACTTTTTGTCATATAGGTTTGCTCAATTGATCGGAGATACGTTTTCGTTAACTTTGACTATACAACTAGCGCTAAATACAATAATGATCAGCATTACATTGTTACAAGTATGTGTTTATTCATTTCAAGATTCTAATACAATATGTGTTTTTTCGCACATATTTAGAATGCAAATAACCATATTTTCTTTTAAATTGTGTAAAAGGGCATAAGTGCGAGGAATTAAAAAACAGATATATTTTTCATATTGTAGATCACGCAGCAGCAAGCCGGTATTTTAGAATTGATAAGATATGTGATGTATGCCATTGGTCAATTAATCCATCTGTTTTGTCTCAGTTTTGAGGGGCAAAAGTTGATAGATCACAGTCTTCAAACCCGTGATAAAATGTAAGACGAATAATATTATGTATGATGACTATTTTATTGAAATTTAATTCATTGAAGAGCATTGCAGTTATAATAGTCTTTGGTATGAAACACCTCCCAAATCGCAAAGGATGCTTCTGTTCGTCATGCAAAAGAGTTTTCAACCTATTTTCTTAAGCGCTAGTAAGATGTATATTTTTTCAATGGAAAACTTCACTATGGTAAAGATTACAATATACATTAAGTAATTATCGTAAAATAGCATAATTTATTTAATTCATGTTTTAAGATTGTGCAAACTTCAATATCATACTTTACTGTACTTTCGTCCTTGGAATAATGATATACATATAAGCAATATAGTCGATGCCTAAATATTATTTATTCTGCATTCTATTTTATCAGTAAAATCATAACTCTTATGTAACATATATATCAAGGCAAGTTTGTTATCCATTTGCGTGTGAGTATCATTTACTGCAGTAATATATTATACAACTTATTACAGTGTAAATTTTTATTACTCGCGCTTATCTTTGTGTATTAACAATATATAATTAATACTTGAGAAATCAAACAAAACTTGCATCATAAGAAAATATTCACAATTCTGAAATGTTTTGTGTAAATAAAAGAATAGGACATCTGAATATTGCTAGAATATAATTGTATAAGGTTTAATAATTTGACAAAACTCTGTCTCATATAATATTTACTATACATAACAGAATATGTAATAGGATCACTTACCGATATCATTTCTCAATGTAAAATACAAATCACACTCATGTTTACGCTAAAGCAAATGTAAGGTAAAACAGGCTATTCTCTCATAACCATACATCTGCAAAGTCCGTTAAAGGATGTAATTTATTGTGTAGTTTAATTCGAAACAAAGATAAAATTTGCAAATAAATTCTCTGCTATTAGGTTGCTTAGAATAAACTAAATTATATATACAGTAAAATCTGTACATTCTCTCTTGTACCTACGTCAGTTGCTATAAAACGAAAAAGAAAAAATGTATTCATTCACACACACACACACACACACACACGCGCGCGCGCGCGTGCGCGCACACATGAATGGATACATTTTTTCTGTATATACATATACGCACACATACACTTATGCACGCGCGCGCTTACACACGCACGCACGTACGCATACACACACACACACACACACACACACACACACGTCGAGACAGGAGACGCGATAGTGTCTCCGGCCATGTTCAAAAACTAAAAGACACTACAAATCTCTTATCCCGAGCCACCAAGTCCATTCTTCAGTGATGCATAACTACTAAAATATAGAAAATTTTGAATCGAACGTTATATGTCCTGAAAAAGGCAGCATCGTCACGAGTAATTTGAGTCAAAAAAATTTTAAATCGGTCAAGCCGTTCTAGAGATACAAGCGGTCAAAAAGTGGTGATATTAATGAAAAATTATAAGAAACGTCTCCTTCTTCTTCTTCTTTTTCTTCTCTTTTTCTTTCTTCTTTTTTTCTGTTCGCATTTAAGGCCGTATTAAAACTTTCTATAATATCCCCTCTCACCTTTCACTCACCATCTTCGACCGACCGCAACCCCTCCCCTCCCCCTTCCCCAAAGTAAGTGATATCGGAAAAAATCGTATCATAAAAATGAAAAGTTCAAGCTATGTTCAAAAAAGGATACTCAAAAAGTTAAACCTTTTTATCTAATAATAATATATTACCGTGAAAAGTAATATATTATTAATAAAGGTGCCAGTACAAAGTGAATATACATAAAGTGTATATGCAACTTTCGGCCGATTTTCGAATCGCTTCCGCTATCCCCCTCATCTCACCGCCACGCCCGCAGATCAAATGTCGCTCGAGCATCGTACGACATTTGACCGGGCATGGATCAAGGTATATTATTTATTGTTAAATAAAGATTTTTACCTTCGAAATGAGGAAATTGTTTCCAGAATTAACTCTACCGCGAGAAGAAAGGAAATACTCTATACTAACTGATAAGTTCCATTCGCAGGGAACTTACAAGTAACATGCTAAATTTCTATATCAATGGAACTCGCAGTTCCCTCTACACTCTACGTTATATTTGCTGTCAAAGAAGTAAATACTACTATTATTGCATCCATGTACAGGCCATGTACGCGTCATAATTCGCAGAAATGTGCCGCAATAATATGGTGAATCTCAATTGTAGGGATATACATATAGTATTTGCATTATGCATGATCGACCTATTCGGGATCTTAAAACTACGTCTCGCATCAAGCAGGTGAAATAAAAGTCTGAAATAAATTACCTAGACAAAGTCAGAAACAAAGAACCTCTTTTTGTGACTACAACAAAATGAACGCCAAATGGAGTCACCATTATGACGTCATTAAGAAAGTATCATCATTGTCCGGCCAGTGGCCCTATCAGAGACCAATAACGAGATTGTTTTGTGTGATCTTGGTGACTTTGAGCACGATTTCTATGATTATTCCACAGGTAATCGCATTAGTTTTCAATAAAAAAGTGACAACTATATCGGAATAATGAGTTTTATACTATTTGAATTTCTAGATAGCTAAATTTGTTAAATGCAACGGAAACTTACAATGTATTTTTGAAACTTTGACATCCTATATGTTAACAACCGTAACATTGGTCAAGTTATATACATGTTACTTTAACCGATGTAAAGTATGTAAAATTATTTGTTGCTCGTGGCATTATGTGGAATTATTTGTACAAGAGTATAAGTACACGATATATATCTTTTAATGTAATTTTATATATTTAAGTTTTTTATTATTATCGTTGACGCTTCTTATAGATGAAAATTCTCATTGATCAGTTATTCGTTGACTGGAACGAATTGGAAACACAAGAAGAATACGAAATTATGAAAAAGTATGCCAAGAACGGCAGACGATATTCCTTGGGATACTCATGTATAAGAATAAACTATACACTTTTCGTCTTTATCGCTCTGGCTGTTTTCATTTTCTGGTTTCGAAATTATAATCTAACTATATATCTTTGGATGAACGCTTTTTTTGTGTTGCAGTGTATTGCTATTTCGCTGTGTATGTGTTTATGTCTGTGTCCCTCATACCACAAATATTGGATATCGTTTTACCTTTAAACGAATCTCGTCCTATATTGCCAACATATCCAGGATATTACTTTGTTGACGAGAGAAAATATTTCTTCTATATCTTTTCACATGCTATCATGGCTTGGGAAATTGCTATAACTGGAATAGTCACCCATGACTGCATGCTTCTAACTTACATTGAACATGTCTGCAGTATTTTTGCCCTAGTCGGGTAAAAACAAATTGAACTATCGAATTAGAAAAATTGATGCAAATGTCACGTGGATATATCGTTGCAAATATATTTGCAGATTTCGTTTTGAACGATTGACATATAAACATAGTGATGCCATGAGAATTTTACATTCTCATACAGTAATGAATGATACATACCACAAACGAATTGCGTTTTTTGTGTATACACATCGAAAGGCTTTAAAGTGAGTGTGTGTGTACAAATCATAAAAGAACAACAACATTAAATTGTATGCACTCTTGAAAATGTCAAAAATAAAAAAATTAATTATTAAAAAAGTAAGGAATGGACCAATGAGAGTAAAAAACTGTAAACAGTGAAAATTCTATAGGTATACGTATAACTTTTTTATCTACTTAGTCGTTTCTCTTCGACTTTCGTTCGAGTCATCTTCAGCAATATATAACTTTGATACCATATTAAAATCAATCATGTGCAACAGTATGACTTACATGACACTTATATATGATACTCAGTAAGGTTCTCCAAGATTTTATAATTTTATTTATGGCGATTACTAAAAATGATTCAAACAAGAGTCGAAACGACTAAATAAATAAAGAAGTTGTACATATACAGGGTGTTCTATTTTAAACGTTCCACGCGATTATCTCAAAAAGAAGATTTTGGTTTTTTTATATCTCTACCTTAATATTTTTATATGCAAAATAATTAGAGGAATCACGTTACTTAAAAAAAATTACATAATTCCATTTAAAAAATTAAGGGTGACCTTCACGTAACCTTCAGAGGATTATTCAAGGTCAAATCGATGGCACCATCTTATGTCCCCCTTCGAGTCAAACAACTTTTGTCTGAAACATTTTTTCGATAAACGCCTTCTTTTTGAGATAATCGCGTGGAACGTTTAGCCCAATCCTCACTTTACACATACACGCGCGCGCGCGACACACACACACACAGAGAGAGAGAGAGAGAGAGAGAGAGAGAGAGGGAGAGAGTATACATATATTTCGTGTTATTATTGTATATATACTGTTTTTGTATTGCTAGATTCGCTCAACTGATTGAAGATACGTTTTCGTTAACGCTGGCTATACAAATAGCGCTGAATACAATAATGATCAGCATTACCTTGTTACAAGTATGTATTTTTACCAATATTATTACAAATATTTATTTTTGTTAAGTATTTATTCAACATGTGTTCTACGTATATTATGTTAATAATACATACACTTTTTATATGATTAGAAGAAACGGTATGTGTCAGCGGAATTAAAATATTTTGTTTATATTGAAGGTCACACAGCAGCAAGCCGATATTTTAGAAATGATACGGTATGCGATGTATGTTATTGGCCAATTGATTCACCTGTTCTGCCTCAGCTTCGAAGGACAAAAGCTAATAGATCACAGTCTTCAAATCCGCAATAAGATGTAAGATGTATGCTTTTGTGATGATACCTTATTTATTAAAATATGTTTATCATATGGCATTGAAGCATTCTAGTTATAAAAGTCTTTGGTACGAAACATCTCCCAAGTCACAAAGGATGCTTTTGTTTGTCATGCAAAAGAGTCTTCGACCTATTTTCTTAAGCGCTGGCAAGATCTATACTTTCTCAATGGAAAATTTCACCATGGTAAAATTAAACATATGATAAAAATTAAATAATATACTTGTCGTCAGGGTTGGGGGTATGTATTTGAAATTCTTTTATTTAAAATACAGTTTTTGTAATAAAAGTAGATTTTATATTTTATATTTTATACAACGGTGTAAGTACATGAAAGTATTACGTGTTTTGTATTTAAAATTGAAAGGTTGAAAGCTTTATATATTTCGTAATTTAAATAATAACATTAATCATTAATCTTAGTATTTAAAATATTAGGAGTATAAATAAGTTTCTGCCGCTTGACAAAAGATGGCGCCACCAGTATGTTATGTCTGCTGTAAAATGTCATATCGTAAGGTTGGACATCTGGCAACAACATAACCCTTAAATATTAGCGATTCTGTATCAGCATCATATATCTTTTTTCGTGTGAAAATATCGAGTTTTGAGCCGAATAAATTCAATCTTTCATTATATTATAGTACTATGTAAATACAAATGTAAATTATAAATACTTGTATATACTTCCATAAAATACAGAATGCAAAATATTTTCATGTACTTCGCTGAAATACAAAATACACGATATAATTGTCTCACAAATATCATTTCCAAATAAAAGTATTTTAAATATGCCCACAAAGTCCTGCTTGTCATAAATATTATACATCATCTAGTATATAAGTTATTCAATATCACATGTTTTAAGATCGTGCAAACTTCAATGTCATACTTTACCGTACTCTCGTCTTTGGAATAAAAATAACAATCAATATCCAAATATCAGTTCTGCAAACAATTTATCCGTGAAAGTATAAAATATAATTTTTATGTGACATTAAAACATAATCGTTAACCATTTGCGCGTGAGTAATGTTTACGTTTATAATATTATATAACTATTGTAGCGATTTTTTTATTACTCTCGCGTATATTTACGTATCATATAGTAGGTTAAAACAAAGAAAAGTTGCATTTTAAGAAAAAAATATAATACATAACTTTGAAATGTTTTTTATTACGTAATGAAAGAATAAATATACACTTAAAAAATATTAAATTACAAATATATGATTTAATATAATAATTTACAAAAACTATAATCTTTATATGTATAATACAAGCGGACTTACCGATATAATTTTGCAATACAATTACAAGATATACGCTCATTCGTTGTTATTATAAAGAAAATGTAAGGTATATATGTTGTTTAATCTTCCCTCTCGACCATCCAAAGTATCTGCAATGTCCGCAAAATTAATTTTCCTATTTAATCGTCAATGAATCCTCTGCTGTCCTTGCTAAGGATGCAATTGTATACGCAATAAAGTCTGTACGTTCTTTCGTCAATTTTTTAGTAAGAAAAATAGAAAAGAGTATAGAAATCGACATAGTTATAAGACGTCACTATTTGTGTATTAAAAGACTGAAGAGTTTTCATGGAAATTTTACAATCGATACATGTGTCTCATATACACGGGAGGGAATTCGTAAAAAGAATTCGTGAAACATGCTTGTCAATGGGACATCATCTATATAAATGCAGTGCCTTATTATCCTATAAGAGTAACATGTCATTTTTTATTAGCTCTGACATACCGCAATTGCTATGCAAAATCGTTATAAGTCTATAACGTTTATAAAATTATTATGTATGTACAATATGTGTTTGAGATCTCATGCAAACAATTTCTCGTAACAAGAGATGAGGATTCGAGTAAAACGAGGACTTTGGTGACATGTTTTCAATCAGTCTGCGCGAGATCAGAAACGAATAAGGATCGCTCGTGAGTTATGGATACTGTTACTCGAAATCATTATTATGATATTGTTGAAAAAATATCATCGTTGGCCGGTCAATGGCCTTATCAAAGACCAAAGTCGAGATTGTTTTGTGTCAGCTTGGTGACTTTGAGCACATTTTCTATAAATGTTCCACAGGTGACACTTTTTATATATAAGATTATTTTTAAAAACATATTGAGTATACATAGAGAAATACTTAGCATGCTCTAATGATATATACATACTTTTAGATGGCCAAATTTGTAACATGTGACAAAGACTTGCCATGTATTTTTGAAACTATGACATCACTTATGTTAGCAATCATGAGTTTGGTGAAACTATACACGAGCTACCTTAACCGCTATAAAGTATAGTACAATGCTGTGTACATACAAAGTGTCTTAGTTCTAATAGACGTGTTCTTGAATACAAATGGAATTGGATACCTTATACTTTTACTTGCGATACAATTTTTCAACATGTTTATAGTGTACACCTTTGAATGCAGCACAGGAAAAGTCCAATCGATATTTAATGTTATTATTATAAGGACATGTACAGGGTGTTCATTTGAAAACTTTTCAGCTGATTATCTCGAAAAATATAAAAGATACAAAAAAAGTTAAAACACGTACGTGTTCCATGATTTCGAGGGGGAAAAGGAACGGCACTCTCAATTTTTTATTTGGAGAGCGTTTTCAACGTAATTCGAAAGTAAAATTTGTCTTTTTAAATGGAAATGTATATTTTTTTTATTACACACAGGATCTTATTCTATGTAAAAAAAAACCAAGTAACTTCTGTAAGAAACATTTTTTTGTTCGATCACTATATTTTAGGAGATATTTAAGAAAATAGCAAATCATAAGTTACTGCATAAAATTTCATCATTTATTATAACAAATATTCAAAATGTCCTCATTTGTTATAATTTATATAATTTATATATTATGGGTCTGTTTTTTGTTCCTGCACTGTCTGAACTAGTATACACGATGCAATAAGTTGAAATGTAACAAATATACGTTTGTTTCATTTTAACTTATTGCACCGTGTGCACTAGTTCAGACAGTGCAGGAACAAAAAACAGATCCATTATGTTATAAACATTTGTTATAATAAATGATGAAATTTTGTGCAGTAACTATGACTTGCTATTTCCTTAAATATCTCCTAAAATAATGATCGAACAAAAAAATGTTTCCTACAGAAGTTGTTTTTTTACTTAAAATTAGAATAAGATCCTGTAACAAAAAATATATAATTCCATTTAAAAAAACAAATTTGACCTTTATAATTACGTTGAAAACGCTCTCCAAATGAAAAAATTGAAAGTGCCGTTCTCTTTCCCCTTTGAAATCATGGAACACGTGTTTTAACTTTTTTTTTGTATCTTTTATATTTTTCGAGATAATCAGCTGGAAATTTTTCAAATTAACACCCTGTATACAATAACTAATACAAATACGAAGCCTATAACAGTCTAGTTTGAATCTTTTAAATGCTTACATATAAATTACCGCGGTACTATCACGAATTAAATTAAATTAATAATTAACTAATATACATAGTCCCCCCCAATTGCGCGCTGAACAATCGTCGGTCTTGAAACGCAATTCTAAAAATCTGAAAATACTAAATCTGGAAAATTATTCGTATTGCGAAAATTACCTCAGCCGAGATAGTACCGCGGTAGTTTATATGTAAGCGTTTAAAAGATCCAAACTAGACTGTTTATAGGCTTCGTATTTGTATTAGTTATGTTCTTATATATTAACGGTCCTTAGTATTGAATATTGTTCATTTACACGCCTGAAAAAAAGCGTTTATCATTTTACACATATCAGAAGACGCGGTAGTATTATATCTCAGACCATGTTCAAAAACTAAAAAACACTACAAGTCTACTCTTATCTCGAGCCACCAAAGTCCATTTTTGGGGGATTCATAACTACTAAAATATAAAAAATTTTTAATCGCACGTAATATATCCTAAAAAAGGTGGCATCGCCATGAGTGATTTGAGCTAAAAAAATGTTTAACTGGTCAAGCCGTTCTGGACACACAAGCGGTCGAAAAGTGATGATTTTCATGAAAAAAATGAAGTAACATCTCCTTCTCCTTCTTTGTCCGCAGTCATGTGCACCTCTCTCCCCTCTCTCATCTTTCATTCAAACCTCCACCAACTTCGACCAACCACACCCTCTCCCCCTTTCCCTCTCTCCCCACCACCTTTCTCTTTCACTTTCTTTCGTTACATAGTAGTTTTTTAAATCATTTTTTAAATATATTTTTGATATATCTCTGTACTCTAAATGTAAGTGATATATCCTAAAAAAAATCATATCATAAAAATAAAAAGATCAAGACATGTTAAAAAAAAAATCCTCAAAAATTTAAACCTTTTTATCTAATAATAATATATTACCATGAATAGTAACTGATATATTATTAATTAAAAAGGTGCCAGTTCAAAGTGAACGTACATAAAGTGTATGCAACTTTCGACCGATTTTCGTATCGCCTCCGCCTTCCGTTGTCCCCCTCACCGCACCGCCCCGCGCGCAGATCAAATGTCGTATATGACCTTAACACTTTATTTACTTTGAAAATTGGCACCTTTAATTTTTTTTTAAATTTTTTTTTTAATTGTTTAAATTTTTGAAGATCTTTTTTTTAACTTGGCTTGCCCTTTTCATTTTTTATGGTATGACTTTTTTAGTTAAATTAGTGTCAAGAAAAAAGTAACAAAAAGGTAACGATTCATTATATTTTGAATAACGGTAACGAATTACTGTTGCAAATTAATAACGAGTAACGAGAACGGGTTATTTAAAAAAAAAAATAACAGTAACGATAACGAGTTATTTTTATGAGATAAGGTTATCCACTCTGTTATTACTATATTTTATATATACATATATTGTATATATATATAGAGCTGTGTTCTGTTATTGATTGCTAGTATTGAAAATCTGTAATACATGTACCTATATATACGTAACGCGAATTACAGGTTTCCAATACTCGCAATAAATAATGGAGAACGCAGCTTAATCGTTCCGTAACGTACGTTTAAATTATATATTTTTAAATATACAATAATATCTTAAGCTTTACATAAAATTCTATATAATAGTATATTAATTTACAAAGATGCCCATTGCTATAATGTATAATCAAATCTTATTGTTAGATGAAAGATCTCACTGATCGTTTGTACGTCGACTGGAATGCATTGGAAACTTCAGAAGAGTACAACATTATGAAGAAATATGCCAAGAATGGTAGACGATATTCTTTAGGATACTCATGTAAGAATAAATTGTGTGCAATCTTCATCCGCACACACGGTGCACACCTCTTATCACTACTTCCTTTGTTTTAAAAAAATACATACACTTTAACAATTATTTCATCTCTTCTTGCGTAGTATATTGCTTTATAGCTCTTTGTCTGTTCCTGTCAATGTCTCTTCTACCGCAACTATTGGATGTTGTATTACCTCTCAACAAATCCCGCCCTATTTTATTAACGTATCCAGGATATTACTTCGTCGATGAAAGAGAATACTTTTTCTACATCTTCTTGCATGCTATCGTAGCCTGGGAAATTTCTATAACCGGAATAGTCGCCCACGATTGCATATTTGTAACTTACGTTGAACATGTTTGCAGTATGTTTGCTGTAGTCGGGTAAATGAATAATTTAATACACAATAATGTAAACGAGAATGAATATTTTTATAATTCTATTCAGATTCCACATAAAATGGATACCATATTAATTGCTTGTAGATTTCGTCTCGAACAGTTATTTTATAATCACAATGACCAAATGAAAACTATAAATACTAATACGGATGATACATGTCGCAAAAGAATCGCGTTCATTGTGCATGCACATCGAAAAGCTTTAAGGTAAATGTACTATAAGATGGGTACCATTATAACATGTAATGCGGATTTCCATTTAAAAGATAAACAAATATCCTGAAACGATCAAGTTCGAATTTATCGTTATAAAGTTTTATCTATGTATAGCTTTCTCGTTTGCCACAGGTACGCGCAACTTCTTGAAGATACATTTAGCGTACCTTTTGCTATACAAATATTGATAGTAACGATAGGGATGAGCATCACTTTGCTACAAGTATGTATTCATTTATTATGAAACGGTATGCATACATGCACCGTGCAAAAAAAGCTTAAAATATATCTACCTTTTTTGTGCTGCAGATAATGCAACAGAACGACACCAGTAATATTTTAGAATCAATGAGATACGCATTATACGTTATTGGTGAACTGATACACTTATTTTTTCTGAGTTTCGAAGGACAAAAACTGATAGATCATAGTCTTCAGATACGCGACAAAATGTAAGACTTTTCTTTCTAAAAAAAAAAAATGTTTATCATTTGTGTGTGCGCGCGTGTGTGTGTGTCCACTAAGGGTGGCAGGTACCCGAGATTTCGGGTTCGGGTCGGATCGGGAATTTTTTTCGGAATCTGGTCGGAACCCGAATGTTTGTAATATTCAGGTACCCGAAATTTATGGGTACCCGAACATTACAAATATTATATCGTTAAAAATAATTTTAACGATATAAGTGTGATGCTTCTGCATGATTTTTTATTCGATTTTTCCATTAGAGTGAAAAACCCTAATAAAAAATCATAAAAAAGCATCACATTTATGCCATTAAAAAATTTCTAGATCTATGATCACTGCCGACCCGATTTTAAATTCGAGTACCCGAACATTACAAATATTCGGGTCTCGACCCGATCTCGAAAAAAATCCTCGTCCCGAACCCGAGACTCGGATATCCGTAATTTTTGGGTACCCGCACACCCCTAATATCTACCTACATATCTTTGTTTTTTATTTTTATGTGAATTTATTATAGATACAATAGCTGTTGGTACAACGTATCTATAAAGTCACAAAAATTAATTATATTGGTAATGATAAAGACTCTTCGATTGAGTTTCTTAAGCGCTGGCAAAGTTTATATTTTCTCTCTAGAGAGCTTTACTATGGTAAGACCTAAGAATTATTACAAGCAAATGTTACTTTGGAGCTCCTTTAATGTGACAGGTATCTAACACTTTTATTTTAAAGGTTCTACAAACTTCGATGTCATATTGTACGGTACTTTCATCCTTTCAATAACTATTTATTAGTAGGCGATTAATTGCGCGGTGACGTTATTATCGTAAAAACAAAACACGTCATAATCTTTGAGAAATTCTCCTGTTAGAATGTTGTTATTAATAATCATATGTACGTAATATTTTCAATTCGCATTGACTACAACGATTTGATCGAATGCCTTTGTAAGTATCATTGTGTGTGTGTATTGCATATGAATTTATAACGTACGTTCCGCACGAGTTTCCAAATGAGAAGGTTCAACTTTCAGAGAAAAAAACCGAGCGAAAAAAATGAAACTTTCTGCAGTTGATCAATATGTTTATTACATCCTTCCGTTTAGAGGGAGTTACTTGCAAAAAAGTATGTCCGTCAGTATGTAGGGTTTCGCTTTCCTTTACATTATATTTATGTCAAGGAAATAAATGCCATTCGTGCTCTACGTAAGAATTACGTGTCATTCATTGCCGCGTAGAGACACACCATGATTAGCTATATATACGAAAACTGCAGCTGTTGTAGAAGAGGCGCATGACATCAATATTATATATGGATGTATGATATGTTCACACACAGTACGAACACACACAAATACACATGTATATTTTAAATAAACCTCTTGTACCAAGGGGGAGCTTGGATGAAAGCTTGGATAAAATAAAATTTTCAAGTTAGTTGACTAGACGAAGCTGCCTTTGAACTATGGATTCCAATTATTACGGTGTTATTAAAAAAGTATCATCGTTGGTTGGTCAATGGCCGTATCAAAATCCAAAAACGAAATTAATCTGTTTAAGCTTCGTGACTTTAAGTACATTTTCTATAGTTATTCCACAGGTAATTGAGAATTACATTTTGATAAAACTGATAGGAGCGTGGAATGTTTAAATACGATAAATAAATTATGTATTTCCAGTTGGCTAAATTCGTCATTTGTGACGGAGACATGCAATGCATATTTCAAACCACGGCAGCACATATGTTGACAATTATAACGTTGGTGAAGCTGTACACATGTCACTTAAACCGATATAAAGTACGTATGAGGTGCTAGCCGTGTTATGATGTTCTGTGCACGGAATTTATATTAATATATACATATTCGCAGGGATCGAGTTTGTGGCATTTCGAACTGTAATTCTATTGTAGAGTACATTAAGTTATGAAGCAAAGCTATACATATATAAAAAAAATTATTAATTAAAAATAACAATAATAAATAAATTCAAGTCCAATAAGAGCGCGGAAGAATTAAGGTGCGCAAATTAATTTGAAATAATTAATCTGACATCAATATCAAACGCGTATGTAACGTTTGATATTGATGTCCGGATGGAGTTTATATGTATATTTTCGAATAATATGTTCACTAATATCAAATGGAGGAACGAAATGATAGTAAATTCTAATATCATTCCAAAGCGTAATATGTTTGGATCAATCTGTTAAAAGTTGACTTCAGATTTGTCAAGAGTGACTTATTCTCGACAGACTGCTGACTAAATAACTCAGATTACAATTGAATTGTTGATAAGGACTCCAAAGAGAGTTAAAACATAAAAAAATTTCTATATAAAGAAGACTTCACTGAACAACGGAATTAAGTTAATTATTTCAAATTAATAATTTGCGCAACTCCTCCCGCGCTGGTTCTTATTAGCCTTGAATTAATTAATTATTATTTTTAAAAATAGAGAAGTACTTGTAAATATTATTAATTAATTGAGTAATCCTAGATGAAAGTTCTAACTGATTGGCTATTCCTCGAATGGGACGAATTAGAAACACCGGAAGAATACGAAATTATGAAGAGATATGCTGAAAATGGCAGGAGATATTCTTTAGGATATTCACGTAAGAATCAAAAATAATTGTGCGATTATTTTTATCTCCTGTATATTTATATGTACATCGATCTCTATTGTTTCCGAAAATAATGACTTGAAATTGTTTTCTAAATATGCAATTTAGAATTGTTGAACGAAATTCTCTCTCTCTCTCTCTCTCTCTCTCTCTCTCTCTCTCTCTCTCTCTCTCTTTTCTGTAGACGACGTGTATCTTATATTTATATACATGTTCTAATTTATTGCAGTATATTGCTTCATATCCGCATTTCTATTTCTGTGTATGTCACTTATACCGCCACTACTAGATATCGTATTACCTCTCAACGAATCTCGTCCTATACTGTCAGTTCATCCAGGATATTATTTTGTTGACGAAAGAGAATATTTCTTCTTTATTTTTTGGCATGCTGTCGTGGTTTGGGAAATAGCCGTGACTGGAATAGTGGCTCACGATTGTATGCTTCTAACTTACATCGAACATGTCTGCAGTATTTTCGCCCTAGGCGGGTAAAAACAATTGACGTGTAATATTAGCGAAATTCGTATGCATATTATTATTACGAAAATATTTGCAGATTTCGATTTGAACGATTGATGTATAAATGTAATGAATATGAAAGTGATGCCGTAACAATTTTACATTCTCATACAAGTAACACGTTCCGCAAGCGAATTACATTTTCCGTATATACACACCGAAAAGCATTAAAGTGAGTAATCTGACAATGTCGAGAGAGAGAGAGGGATTTTTGTTCGTATTATTATTATTATTATTATTATTATTTCCTCATTTTTTGTCATAGATTCGCTCAACTAATCGAAGATACATTTTCGATAACATTGGCTCTACAAATAGCATTAAATACAGTAATGATTAGCATTACCTTGTTACAAGTACGTATTTATTTATAATTTCAAAATTCTATCCGACATGTTATTCTTTATACATATGCAGTTATATAGAATCAGATACTTTTCATAAAATTGCGAGAAAATAAATGCAAAGGATTAAAGTGTGTTAAACTTTTCATACTGCATGGAGATCACGCAGCACAATGCCAGTGTTTTTATAGTGATGAGATACGTAGTATATGTCCTGAGTCAACTGATTCATCTATTTTGCCTCAGTTTCGAGGGACAAAAGCTGATAGATCACAGTCTTCAAACGCGCGATAAAATGTAAGAAATTAAATTTTTTGGAAAGTGTAACATATAATTATACTAACAATAAGTAGTTAAACTTAGAAAAAGATAACGACTCCTTTATTTGAACAAAATAAATAAATAATACGGTAAACAAGACTATAAGAGTCAATCGCTGGTTATTCTGTTGCGTATTTTATAAATTAATATTATAATGTATCGTCGTTTTGACTTTAAGTAGTTTATATCATCTTCAACTTATACAATGCAAGTCAGATGTCTCATCCAATATAATAGTTACAAATCAATCGATGTTGCGTTTCACACTCAGGAACCCATCAGGACTGTGTTCCAAAACGTAACTTTGATTACTAAAAAGCTATATAGTTTACGTTACGTCAATTATAGATTTCAGTTATCAAAGTTATGTTTTAGAACACATCCCAGAGCGATAAATGATTTATCCACAAATAGCTGTGTGTTTGCGAACAACTTTATACTAAAATTCGAGCAATATAATTAACTTATTGTTAGTATGTGAATAAACAGAAAATGTAAATTTAGTTACCATAATAGGCTCCAATATGTTGATATAAAAAGAATTGTAGATTTCATCGCAAGTAACAGAAAATTAGATGTAGTCACATAAAACTTTAAAACAGTAACGAGCGTCAATGTATATAATCTTGTCTGTAAGAAGATCGGTTGAATAATAACAGTAAATACAAATATATCTGTTTGGTCATTATTGCGATACATGAAAATTAAATCTTATTGAGAATTTCGGTGTAAGCATGACTTTAAAGCGTCATTTTGCAAATTTTTCAGGCATTTTTTTTTTGGCGGTTAATGCTTACACCGAAATTCTCAATAAGATTTATAATTTTCATGTATCGCAATAATGATCCAAACAGATATTTGTATTTACTGTTATTATTCAACCGATCTTCTTACAGACAAGATATATACCATACATTGACGGTCGTTATTGTTTTAAAAGTTTTATGTGACTACATCTAATTTTCTGTTACTTGCGACGAAATCTACAATTCTTTTTACATCAACATATTGAAGCCTCTATTAGGGTAACTAAATTTACATTTTCTGTTTATCCACATACTAAGTTAATTATATTGCTCGAATTTTAGCATAAAGTTGTTCAAACACACAGCTATGCAACTGTTTGTGAATAAAAACACTTACCGCTCTGACGAGTTTCTGCAGAGTGTGAAGCGCAACACATCGATTGATTTGTAACTATTGGATGAGACATCTGACTTGCATTGTATGAGCTGAAGATGACTTACATTTGAAGTCGAAACGTACGACGATACATTATAATATCAATTTATAAAATATGCAACATAATAATAACCAGCGGTTGACTGATCCTACAGCCTTGTTTACTATATTATTTATATATTATTATGGAATATAGTTAGCGCACATTAATTTACTGATGATAGTGAATTAATTAAGTACATTGCAGCTACAATAGTCTTTGGTACGAAACAACTCCCAAATCGCAAAGGATGCTCCTGTTTGTCATGCAAAAAGCCCTTCAACCTGTTTTTTTGAGCGCTTGCAAGATTTACACCTTCTCAAGGGAGAATTTCACTATGGTAAAAATAAATAAGTGATATCTACACAAACGCGATATTTACGTATATAATAATTGTGACAAAGGTACATATAAAATGATTTTAATGATACGACATTAACCTAATACTTTTAAGGTCGTGCAAACTTCCATGTCATACTTTACGGTACTCGCATCTCTGGAATAATTATACCAATGACCAGTGTGTCTACTATTTAATAAATTAGTCTCTTGCATCTGGTTATGAAATTGCATCTATATAGTAATTGTTACATGGCAATATAAGTTTATTATTATACCTTATAGCTATGTAACATATATTTGTAATGTATAATAATAATAATAATGATTACATTAGCGTTTCAATGACTTGCGTAATTCCGAACAATGTATAAACAGGGAGAGAGAGAGAGAGAGAGAGAATGGAAAGTTACTTTTTAAAAGTAACAAATTATACAGTTACTCATTATCGAAAAGTAGTTAATGAGTTACCGTTATTAGTTATCGCTTTTTAAAAGTAACTCGTTACAGTTATTACTGTTACTCGAAAAAGTAACTTTTCATTATACTTTTCCATTATTTTTTTAAAATCAGTCTGGATCAGTTCTGTGTTTTTTTTTCCTAAAAAAAAGAAAAACAGAATTGTTAAAAACTTTTGATTCAGGATCTACATATTATTAATAAATTCAATAAACTAAAATACGTTTACTTTGTAAGTTGTCCAATCTACTTTGTTATCGGAGTATGACCTGGCAGCGCGTATGATGAGGCATGCTTTCCATGAAATTTTCAGCCATTATCTTAGGAAGAGATCTCCAGATTTTCCGTATATGAAGATAAAATTGTTACGCCCGCGCGACCGAACCGAATCGCTGACAGTAGCGGCCGAGTTTTAAAAACATGCGCGCGAGACTACCGTCAAATCGATTCTGTTTGTGCATTTTTTTGGCAATGACACCGCTCGTCTTCCCTAGCGACGCGCTCTTCATTCGAAAACGGCAGAACACAGAGAGCGCACGGAACGGAAATAATAAAATAAGTCGCACTACTCATATAACTTGAAAGCATTCTTCCAAACTGTTCAGAGAATCTGATTCAGGAAAAAGCGAACTTAATAAATGTCTGGGCGACATTTATTAATGAAATGCGGAACCGTATGCTCTTGCATGTGTGGATCAACTATAACTGCGTAATTGTAAAAGTATAATTCGTATGTAATTACAATTATAATTTTAAATGAATTAAATGCACAACTCAACAATTACTGTAATTGTAATTACATGTAATTGTATAATCAAAGAGCAAACGTAATTATAAATTACATTTATTAATTAATAATTCCCAACTCTGAAGTCTGAATTATTCAATATGATTCAATTACAACGCAATTGAATTACGATATTAAAATACAATAATTGAATTTTAGCACAACTCTGCATCCACATACGAAAAAATAATCTAATTTCGATGTTGTTTTATTAACTTATAGCATACACACTATACTACAACTGCGGTGATACTATAATAATAATAATGCTATATTATACTGTGACTGCTAATAATGTTAATTATTATTGTGCTACTGTAATATGTATGTATTATACGTGCTGAAGCGTCAGATTTAGTTTAATAGATAAAAAAAATTGCTTCGATCAGATGGCATTGCTTTTTGCGACATACTTATTGAAATACGCGTGCGTCGTTTTTCATATCAACGTGTAATATTTGAGCAGTCGGATATAACAGTAATTTTTGTCCACTTTGTTCTGACTGGTTAAATTCTAATTCCTGACCTCTCTAATGCCTAGTTCACACTAGGCGCGACGAGCGATAACCAATAAGAACTCTGCTTTACATCGTCGGGTGAGCAAAAGCAATAAAGCATTTATTGGATATCGTCCATCGCATCCAGTGTGAACTAGGCATAACACACAGATTTTAATATTTATTTCGCACGTGGGTGCAAAAATTCATAATGAAAATGTAAAGTTAAGAAATACGAAATATGCGCAACGCGCAGCAGTTTTATTATACAGCGAGTATTAAATGACCGCTAAAAGTATTTTTTGTTTTATTAATTATTATTTTATTGTTTGTTTTGCTTCTTAATTAATTGTGCGAAGAAGTGACGCGCGCGAGCATATATGGTACAATCTATAGATACTGCATACGCGATATATATTATATTGTGCGTGCGTGCATATCAATCGTATCTATTCGTATCTTTTGCTTCAATATCTTTGTATTAAATTTCCTAATTGGAGAGAAAACATATCTTACTCCTCCTAAACTCTACCGCCTCTTGTTGTCCTTCTTCCGATACTCCGATTCACTCTCTCACCGGCGCGGCGCCCTCCCACTGAAGCCGAAGGCGTGCGCGACGTGCGCGGAGCGTTCCACATCGCTACATGGGATACTGGTAGATACTGGCTAGGCGATCGCTTGCGGGAGCCATTAAATAATAAGAAGAAGAAGAGGTATCCGCGGCGGGAGTACGCGATCCTTATGCATTAATATTTGACATCGTATGTATGAGACTCCTTTCAACTCCCTTCTTCTGCTCAAGTGCTCTGACGCCGGAAAAACAATCGGAAGTCTCTAATTCATGTAAACGCGAATTGTGAACAATACCTACACATGATAAGTGTGAAACGTGTTTTTATATAGCTTAATCAACAGTGTTCCGGAGACAGGTATGACATATCTTCTCTTTGTGAGTATGTATACATACATCGTAAGCATCGTGATAAAAGTGATGGAAATTATTGCGCGTGCCGAAAAAGATTCACGATAACATACACAGGCATTGCCTTCGAAAACTGGCATCTTGATCGAGCAAGAGCAAACGGAACATATTAGAATACGTATCTAGGATCGCGTATGTCTGCTGTATCTGTTATAATTGTTATCATTTTATTTACACGCCATGTGTATGTACCTATATCTTCTCTTGCAATCTTGAGGAAAATCGATTAGGTTAGGTTTCTGATTAGTTTTATTTTGTAGTACCTACTTGTAGATGTTACAAAAAGATGTTTCGACTAGTAGAGAAAGTCCGAAAAAGCCAAAATATATATCCCTCGCAAACGCGCGCGTTATCTATGGAGATATGGCGATGATAAAATATAAATCAGATTATTAATATAAGTTTCGTAAGTTAAAATGTACGTAATATAAAATGTACTTAATTCACTGTCATTTAAAAACACGATTGGGAGATACGATTAGATATCGGTATTTTGTAACACATTAACTTTACAATATAAGAAATATCCTATTTCTATAATAATTTGTATTATTCACAACTTTTTGTGTAATAAACAATACTTACACAGTTCTGAAAACTATCTTATTTAATATTACTGAATCAAATATCTTCAATATTATCTTTGTTCTAACCTATTTAAATATTTTATTAAAAAATTAATGTTTTTATTTATCACAATTTGACAGGATATAGCATTTTTAAAGCTATATTAAACAATTTATGCCAAGTTTAAAGTTACATTACTATATTTATTACAGAGTAATAAAAATCTCGAAAAATGAATGGAATTATTCCTGAAATGGAACAGATTATTAGTCAACTTGAAAGAGGTACCGTAGTGACTAAGTTCTTTCCGAGAAAACGGCCGGAAAAGAAAACTCTTATGATTAGGAGAGAAACAAGACAAATTGTTTGGTCTAGGAGTGCAACTTTTAGACCTTTCGACGGTTCAGGTGATCCTGTCTATATACATAGATCTGTGGAATTTCAATTCTATTTACTTAATATTTTTGTAAATATTATATGTATATATATATATATATATATATAAAAGTTTATACATATACATAAAAAAAGTCTATAATAGTTATGAATAAATCTTACGATTTTGGCAATATACCACCTGTGATTGATTCATAAATGTTAAGAAATTTTTTTATATACTTATTATGATATATATATATATATATGTTATAACAATTTTAAATATTGCAATTGATTAAATTGTTTAAATATTATATTTATTTACAGTGGAAATACGAGAGGTCAAAGAAGTTAGGATAGGAAAACAATCTAAAGACTTTGAAAAGTGGCCTGAAGATGCTAAGAGAATTGAAAATTTAAGATGTTTTGTGATATATTATGGATCAGAATTTAGACTGAAAACTCTTTCCATATCTGGTAAATATGATATTGTTTGAGTAATCAAGTGTTGGTTACTTTTGCTAAAACATATTAATTATTATTTATGTCAGCTCTTAGTGAAAAAGAATGTGAGCTATGGGTCAAGGGATTGCGTCACTTAGTACAAGACACTATAAGTGCACCATATCCATTACAAGTTGAAAGGTGGCTTAGAAAAGAATTTTACGCGATGGAAAATTCCCGTGAAACGTAAGTTTCTCTTCTAACACTATTTATTCTTATATTTTACATATTTATCTCTATAAGATATTGAATGTGATAAGATATTGAATGTGATTTAAATATAGATTATTTATATGTCACTACTTTTTTTATATCAATCATCTATTCATCATTAACTGTTGTTTTCATGATTATTTTACCGACTGACAGGGTCACATTGAAAGATGTGAAAGCATTTTTACCTCGGGTTAATTGCAAAATTGCTACAAATAGACTCAGAGAATTGTTCCAAGAAGTAGATACGAGAAATCGGAATGAACTTAGTTTTGATGATTTTGTCATTCTGTACCATAAATTAATGTTTGATCAAAATGTGAGTAGATACTGTAGTATTTTTGTATATAAAAAGAGATCAACGTCAGCATTTACCTGTGCACAAATTATAATTGATACAATATTTTTACAGAATTTTGCGGATTGGCACAAACTGTTGAATTATTCTAAAACTGGACAAACTATTACTCTCCAAGAATTTCAAAATTTTTTAGTAACTGAGCAGCAAGACAGATTGGGGAATAATGAGTTAGAAATATCGCGTTTCATTAGAGACTACTTGCAAGATTCTCAAAGAGACATACAAGAGCCATACTTTACTGTTTCAGAATTTATAGACTTCTTATTTTCTAAGCATAACGACATATGGAATCAAAAATTCAACCAAGTTTCTCAAGATATGACTCGGCCCCTTGCATATTATTGGATAGCGTCATCGCATAACACGTATGATATATTTAAACAAATAAAAGTGCATACTTTCCAACTATTCCAACTAACTACGTGTGTGATGTTCTAGATACTTGATGGGAGACCAGATTAGCAGTGAAAGCAGCTGTCAAGCCTATGTCCGCGCGCTGAGAGCAGGGTGCAGATGTATAGAACTTGATTGTTGGGATGGTCCAGATGGAATGCCATTTATATTTCATGGACACACTCTTACTACTAAAATCAAATTTTTGGATGTTATTAAAACTATCAAGGAGCATGCTTTTGCTACATCTGAGTAGGTCTCAAAAAGGAGCAAAAAATGAAAAGAAACAATCAAACTGATTATTTTTACATAACTATTATTTTTCTATTGAACACGTTTTATTTACATAGATATCCTGTTATTTTGTCTATCGAGGATAATTGTACTTTACCCCAACAACGTAAAATGGCAACTACTATGCAGGAAGTATTTGGTGACATGCTGTTAATCCAACCTGTTGACAAGAATGAAACTTGTCTACCTTCACCATATGCATTACGTAGAAAAATTTTGTTAAAACACAAAAAACTTCCCGATGGTGTTGATGAATCCTCATTTCTTATTCGAAATGATGAAAGCAGACAAGAGATGGATCTCAGAAATACTGTGAAAAATGGAATTCTTTATCTGGAAGATCCTATTGATAGAGAATGGAATCCTCATTTTTTTGTATTGACCCAACAAAAGTTATTTTATACAGATACATTTTCAAGAGCACAGGAAATCGAGCACGATGACGATGAAGAAAACGGCGTTCGGAGATCGTTAGATGTATGTACATTATACAAAAAATACAATATAAATTAGATTCATTATTAATTGTGATTTATAATCACAAGATTGGGTGAGTTTTTTTAAACTAAATTAAGTTAAAGTAAATAGTTTATGAGATTATATAATGTAATTAAGTTAAAAGTTGAATAAATATAAAAAATTAATTCAGTTATTAAAGTTACGCGTTATATAAGATTGAATTAACTCAAATAAAATCAAAAGTTAATTTTGAAAATTATTAAAAATATTAGAATATATTTTATTAAAAATTAGAATATCCTAATTTAAAAAAAAAAAACGAATTACTTTAAACAACAAAACTATTACAATATAGATTATCAAATAAATTTAATTAACATTTTATTTCTAAATTATATGAAATAAAGATATTTCTTATTGACAATAAAATGTACCCTATATAATAAAAAACTAATTTTTAGTATTTTTATATAAATATTTTCATACTTATATATGTTATAAAAGAAAAAAATAAAATGTTACAATATTTTTTAAAATGCAAGTAATCTTGTATTCCTCCTTGTGCTGGTCATGCTTATACGTTCTTTGAAAATTATATATAAATAAAAAGCTTTTATTCTTTCTTTGTATCGCTCATTAGATGGAAAACGATCGAGAATAGCATAATGCAGTATAGCATTGATAGCATTCTCTAAATGCAGACCAAGTTCATTTTCGAGCACTACAAACGTCGCTCTTATATCATATCGATCCTTGAGCTTTTTCTAAACTAATTCTTCAATATTTAAGATTTTATAGAAAATAATTGCATTAATTGCAAAATAATAATAGCATTTAGAAAGATAAAAAAACTAACTTAAAAGAAGTTAATAAATTAAGGTTTAATTAAATTAAGTTGAAAATTATTAACTCTATAACTTTTTATCTAATTTGTAACTTATTAACTAGTTACCTTCCAACCTTGTTTATAATGGATATAAATATGTGTTAAACAATATGTTAAAGTAACTTGTGTTTTAAAAAATTCTGAAAGGGTGCACCAAATGATGAATTACACTTTGGAGAAAAATGGTTTCATGGAAAATTAGCAAGAGGAAGAGAAGAGGCTGAAGAATTACTACGACGTTATTCCTATCTTGGAGATGGTACTTTTCTAGTACGAGAATGTGTTACATTTGTGGGTGATTACTGTTTATCATTTTGGCGTAAAGGAAAGGTGAACCATTGCCGTATTAAACTGAAGCAAGAAATGGGTCAAACGCAGTATTATCTTATTGACACCAATTGTTTTGACAGTCTGTACAGTTTAATTACTCATTATCGTAATCATCCACTTAGAAGTCAAGTAAGTGCAATATATTATAAAAAATATATTGTTGTAAGTGAAATATTCTATATGTACACGTGTGCGTGCGTGTATATATATATATATATATCCTGAATCAGGAACAAAAGTATTTGTTTTGAAATAAAACCGTGTAGTACATGATTGTCTTTGATGAATAGGAATTTCTAATCACGTTACAAGAACCAGTGCCTCAACCAAACAAACACGAGGAAAAAGAATGGTGGCATCCCGAATGTACTCGAATCGCAGCAGAAGAAATGCTAAAGCGTATACCTATAGATGGTGCATTTTTAGTAAGACCTAGTGAAAGAGAAAGTAATTGCTATGCAATTTCATTTAGGTATATTTCCTTAAAGCGTCTCGTATGTTTTCCGTATAGCTTTAGATTTTATATAATCTACTTCTCGTATACTAATATATATAAATTATATTCTATTATAGAGCGGAAAAGAAGATAAAACACTGTAAAATAAAACTCGAAGGGAGGCTGTATACCACTGGAACTGTAGAATTTGAGAGTTTAGTTGAATTAGTCAATTATTATGAACGACATCCACTGTTCAAAAAGATTAAATTAAGCCACCCTGTTAATCAGGACGTTATCAGAAGAATGAGTTTGGTATGTGTATTTATTTTTATGCGATTTTTATTTGAGTTCATATATATAATATGTAAATAATATGTAAATTATATATTATCACAAAATGCTAAGAGATACGAAACATTGTAACGTTCCTTTTCCTCTATACTTAGGATAATGATGATGGATCTGTTTATGGTATCCCAGGTTATATGGATCCTACAAGTTTTATATCAAAAGTAAGCTTTATAATTCCGAGATGATACCGATAATTATCGAATTTCGTATTTATCAATTTTTATAACATGCTAAAAATATATAGAAATATTTTTTTTTCGCAAAAGTAGATATTAATCGTAGATGTGTTAATTCGATATATTAATACATCGAATTGCTTTAAAGGTTACTGTTAAGGCTATTTACGATTATAAAGCTAAAAGAGATGATGAATTGACCTTAGTCAAGCATGCTATAATTACTAACGTTAACCCGCAAAGCGGAGGATGGTGGAGAGGTGATTATGGTGGTAAAAAACAACATTGGTTTCCTGCTAATTATGTAGAACAAATTGATCAACAAGAATCTCAAGGAGACGTAAGTTTTAAATTTTGATTAAATAAGTAAACGGTCTATATTGAGCTGAATGGATTTAATATTGTTCTTAGAATAATATTAAATCCATTCTAAGAACGATATTAAATCCATTTAGCTCGATATAAACCGTTTACTTATTTAATTTGCATTGCAAAAAATGAGCGAAATTTATTAATTTTAAATTTTATATTTACGCATATGAATAATGGTCAGAAAATAAACTGTAATATTGATGTAAAACACACATTATATCTTGTAATTATTCGAAGTATTTAATATCGTATAATACACCTAACTTAAAAAAGTAAGTGATTTTTTTTTAGTCAGCGGATTCTATGATGCTTGGTAGCTTGCAAAAAGGTTCATTAGATATTATGGGTGCTGTGGTAGAATTAACAATTGGGGAAAGACCAGGTTTGGAATGGATTTTAAGAATACAAAATCCTAGTATGTGTTCAGTATTTGAAGTAGCGACGCCTTCGAAAGATGCCGCGTTAGAATGGATGTCAAGTATCAAAGAGACTGCACAAAATGCAAGTGTTAGGGTAAATATGTAAAATAAATTTTCTTTATATTAAATTCAAATATTATTTAGCATCGTGTGCATTTTTTATTGCTTTTGTTAGGAAAGTCAACACAAAGAAATGGAAAGAGCATGGAGAATAGCTAAGGAAATGTCTAATCTTATAGTATATTGCAGATCAGTTGCATTTAACATAGAACGAATAAGAACCAAGGGATTTACGTTCAATGAAATGAGTAGTTTTCCTGAAACAAAAGCCGAAAAATTAATGTGTCAACAAGAAAATAAATTTTTTATCAAGTATCATCAGGTAATAAATATCGAGAGTACAGATGCATTAAAATATTAAAATGCAAATTAGATATTTAGTAAATAAATTATTTTTCTTTATTTTAGGTTCAATTTAGTAGAGTTTATCCAAAGGGGCAACGTATCGATTCATCTAATTATAATCCCATACCAATGTGGAATTCTGGTTGTCAGATGGTAGCTTTGAATTATCAAACTGGAGATAAATCAATGCAATTGAATCAAGCTAAGTTTAAGGAAAATGGCAATTGTGGCTATTTATTGAAACCAGAATTCATGTTTAGATCTGACTTCAACCCATACGACAAAAATACATTGTATGGCGTTGAATCACTCAAAATTAGCTTAAAAATTATTGGAGCGAGACATTTAATGAGATCAGGAAGAGGCACTGCCAGTCCATCCGTCGAGATCGAAATTATAGGTGCAGATTTTGATTCTGGAACAAAATTAACAACAAGGACGATACGTAAATATCTATATATTTTAAATTATAATTTTATTAAACGTTACATTACTCTCTCTCTCTCTCTCTCTCTCTCTCTCTCTCTCTCTCTCTAATAGAGGATAATGGATTTAATCCAATGTGGAATGAAACATGCGAATTCGAAGTATTCAATCCATATTTTGCTCTTATACGATTTTTAGTACAAGACGAAGATATGTTTGGCGACAGCAATTTCATAGGACAAGCTACTTATCCTGTGAGTATTTAATTGTTATTTATTAAACATTTATGTTTAATGTTATTTAAAACATTCTCACTTAAGATCTTTGTTTTCTATTAAAATTTCATTTTGTTCAGGTACGCTGTTTAAGAATGGGATATAGAAGTGTTCCATTAAAAAACATATATAGCGAAGATCTTGAGCTTGCTTCCTTATTAATACATATTGCAACTTCATCAGTAATGAGAAATTTCATTTAAAGTTATTCATTATTATTGATATTCAAATTAAAATTTATGATTTAGTTTTATACTTAAAAATTTTTTCGTCTCATACAGGTACATAATACATAAAATAAAGCAACAAAAATTAAATCTGTGCTATAGAATATTAAATACGCAAGCTAGCAAAACTAATCAAATAGTATGTGAGATAAAGAGAGTAGGTATTTATCTTAGATAAATTCTGTTGTATGTGTAATAATATATTATCTATTTATTTCAGATGATACAAATCTACAAGTCATCGTAAGTAAAACATATGTATTGCGATAATAATATAAAAGTAACATATGTTTTAGATCAGACTGTACCACATATCGTTAAAAGACTGTATATATTTACGTTGCATTATATAATATATATGTAATGCAACAATATGTTTAAAAGTATTTACGTAATTAAATATGAAGCAAAGGTCAATGAATAAATGCTCTCTTGTTGAGAAGAATAGGAAAAGAATTAAAAATTTAAATAATTAAAACACTTGGGAAAGAGAAACAATATACTGCTTAGGTTTTATCGCTATGACACATGTTATAGATACTATCAAACATCAGTCTAATTAAAATTACAACATATTTCATTATACAATATATGTATATAAAATTAAGTGCGCGCGCGTACACACACACCTCCACCCACAGACATACGTACATACATTTATTTTTTAAATAATTTATAATTTATGCTATTAAATCATTGTGTGGTAGTATAAAAGTATAGTTCTCATCTTTTTTTTTTCTTTTTACGATGTACTGCTTACAGTTTTAGGAAATAGTTATGATTTCACATTTTTCTGATACATTAATACTTATTTTACATGTTTTTATGATCTTTATATTCGATTGTTCATTTCTAATTATTTATAAAGAAATAAAGTTAAAAAAGAATAATTTTTGCAAAAACTGTTCTTTCTTGAAAAGTATTTAAGATAAGAAGCTCAAAATTTTACTAAATATTCTTTATATGTCAAAATACAATACATATTTTTTCAAAATTTTTATACTAGACTTTTTACAAAAAAAATTACGTGTCTCCTGTATGTGAAGATAGAAATTATACTATATTACATATTTCTAGTATTTTTGTCGTAATAAAAGATCATTCTTTAGTAAATAAGATGCTTTGAATACAAATATGACGTCAAAAAGGATGTATCAAGTTTCCGAGAAAGAAAGGATTAAATTCCCTGCTAAAATCGCATTTTTTATCATTTTCATAAATTTATAATGCATGAATTAGATAATACCTTTGAGACTTTCACAAGTATTTTCTTCAGAAATATCAAAGTTTTATCATCGCGTCTTGATCCATTGCTAGTGCCTGATAAAGTAAACGGCAAGGTTCACGAAACGTTAGCATTGGCACAAAATCACGACACAAACTAGATATTTCAACAGTTAGGAAATTTCGATAATGAAACTTAGACCTTTATCTTTCTGTTAACACTCTGAAAACTCTTTGTGTATGTGACATATACTTATTCAGTCTATTAATTTACCTCTATATAGCAGTTATATTGGATCTATACTATTTAGAATTACTAAAATCTGATTTTAGATTTGTAATCAGCGACCCAAAAAATTGCAAGATTCCATAAAAATCTGTTTAGAAAATTATACCACACAAAAGGATTAACATATAGATTTGTTTAAAAAAAAAAAAAAAGTTCTATACATGTATTATATGACTGAACTTTTATTTATAAAGATTAATAAGTTTGTTAAATTAATATGTTGTATTATATTTGTAATATTAATATAATTAAAAATGTACATTGAGATAAGGCTCAATATGTTTTTAAAACAAATAATATAGAGAAAGAGGGCAATGAGCCAATAATATCGTTAAAATCTTTTTAAATTATAATCTAATATATTGCGAAGAATATCACGTAATTATGGCGTTTCGTCCCAGCTTCCACTACTGGACTCATCAGTAAGGTATTGTAGTGGAAGCCTACCTTAGACGCCTGTTTTAAGTTATTAGAAATATTCGCAAAAATAGATCCAGTTATAGAATATTCGCAAAAATTCTCGCAAGTGCTTGGAAAGGCGTATATCTGTATATATAGATTCTCGATCTAATAACTTAAAACAGGCGTCTAAGGTAGGCTTCTACTACAATACCTTACTGATGAGTCCAGTAGTGGAAGCTGGGACGAAACGCCATAATTACGTGATATTCTCTTCGCAATATATTAGATTATAATTTAAAAAGATTTTAACGATATTATTGGCTCATTGCCCTCTTTCTCTATATTATTAATATAATTACTTTTATTTGGAATGAAAGCAATAGTTTTACGATAGAAAGGAGTATTATTACGTGTTACAGTTATTTGTAACATTGCATTAAACATGAAATATAGAGATAACATGTGCGTGCGCGGGCGACACACACACACACACACAAAATGGACATAATTAATAATTGTATTCTATGGCAAATGTAATTACATTCTCTAGATGAGAAAATGTGCAAAATTTTTATTCTGTCTAGTCAAAAATGCATAGACATTAATGAAAGGAATTCATGGAAAAAGTATAGTATATTTAACTTGAATATTCTATCGTTTACTGTAGAATCGGCGAGCGATGCTTAAATAAATCAGATTTCGATATATTTTTTCAATAGCCAGTACTCTTAGTATTATTCTATCTATGCATATCTTTGGTCTTCCTCAATAATTATGCGTACGTACGCATTAATTATATATGTAATACAATACCTATTTTACTATTTACTATCAATCATGTCTTCCCAATTGTAGCATGTCCTAGATATATGCCGATATATTATATATAATAATGTTCTTATATATTAGAATTAATTAGAATGTTACATTTTAATGATTGTACTTTTAAATATGTACATTTGTAAATCAGAATTAGAAAGTGTGTACGTCCATTGTGCCTGTCTTTGTATCGTGATTCGTGAATGATACAAAATAAGACAATCTGCGAAAAAAGAGCAACAAATACATTTTAAAGAAAATTTCATGTAAATTTTGCTTTGTTATAAATATGATTAGACATATCAAATTGAATAGTTTTGCAGGGTAATATCTAGTGTAGATGTGGATTATAAGTAATCTTTAAGAAGACTAGAGTATGTACATACATAGTTGTATTTATTGCAACATACATATATGTTATGTCGCAGAATGTAAGACATCAAATAAATTTCTATGCCTTTATTTCATGTATTTTACATACGAAAGATCTAACATTAGAGATATAAAGACAAAAATAGTAATAATATACATATAATTGAAATATATGTATTCTCTAAGTTATAACTGTGGACAGGTCCTCTTATAAAGTGCTCTTAAGATACTCATCAAATAGAAATACGGAAAGGGATGCATCACGCTCTTCAAGCATATTTTTAAGGTCATTTGAATAACCTGCTAGACGTCTCACACGTTCGGACAACGATTCCATGAAATGTTCCTCAATGTAATGAGCAACAGCTGCATCTTGTTTAGCATGATGCTGTGCTTGAGTATGAATACGTAACGCTTCTTCGGCAAGTTGCTTCTGACTGTCAAGTGCTTTAGCCAGACTATTCAATTCAGTTAATTCCAATACTTTGCTATCCTTGATCTATAAATGATATTAATGAAACTTTCCGTATAAGTGGAAGATGAACTAAAACAAATAAATGATACACTCACAGGTTTCTTGGAACGTGGGAGCTGATTGAGATCCATCCTGCCACCACGATGTGCGATATATTTGATCAAGTCTATCGCTTCTTCCCACGATTTATCTGAAAGTTTGCGATAAAGTCCCTTAAATCCGTCTCGATTTGCTTCGTAATTTCCGAAATGCGTAGACATCAGAAGAAATTCAAAACTTGTTTCGATATTAGCGTTTGCGTATGCCTGCAGCTCAGCCTGAAGAGTATCGATAGCTCCATATTTGGCATTACAGTTTGATATTAATCCACCATCTAGAAGCATCGCGATAAGAAGGAATTCTTTCTTGAAAGATTACGCGCTTCCGAAATGTGTATACACACACACACACGTTTTAATTAACACGAAAAAAGTTGAGGATTAGATGCTAGGATTAAACAAATAACGCAATTGTACTATTACAGTAATTTAGTAAGGTATAGCACTCTGAAAGGTAATGCAAATATTTTTTTAAAAACAATTTCATGCAAACAAGTATCCTGCACATACTTTTGGGATTGGTGCTGCAGGCACTTTCAATGTCGGTATAACAGTATTCTCCGGACACGGCCAGGAAAAGAAGAGATAATACTCCGAAGACCAACATCATTGCTGAAATTCAATAGATTAGAAAAATAAATATTTTTCTAGATATACAAGCCCACATGGAATTTAATATATTGTTAATACAAATACGAATAACAGTCTAACTGGATCTTTGTTGCTTAAATAATTTCGCGTGATTTTATATATTGATATAATACAATATATATATATATATATATATAGCCTTTCTAAACTGCGCGCCGAACAATTGTCGGTCTTGAAACGCAACTGTAATAATAAACTACCGCAGGTACTATCACGAATTAAATTGATTAACAATTCAATAATTAATTTGATGGTTTTTTAGCATCTTATATTGATGTTAAACTATATTAAAATCTGAAAATAATAATTCTTATTGCAAAAAATTACTTCGGCCGGGAGTCGAACCCGGATCGCCTGCTTTAGCGCGCAACTGTCCTAGCCAATTAGACAGTCTATTGACAACAACACGAATGCTAACGATAACCGTGTCCTTGCATTGTTTTGAAGAAATAGAGATATACCTACTCAGTATTTAACTGACACAAAAAGAATCGAAGCTACCGACAAGTAAACCTACCCAAGTGTGACACTCCGATTTCGAATTTTTAGTATGTTGTTCTGCAGACAAAAATAAGCGATATGTATTTTTTTATATGTGCCCATACGTACTTTCAAGGGGTGAAACATCCCATTGAAAAAAATAAGTTTTTCTCTTTCGAAGTGAACTCTTAAAACCATTCAATTTTCATTCTACAAATTTTTTTCTACCTCTTATAACTTGGAAGATATTCGCTTCAAAAGAGAAAAATTGATTTTTTTTTCAAAGGGGAGTTTCATTAAAAGTGCGTATGGACACGTATAAAAAAATACGTGTCGCTTATTTTTGTCTGGAGAACAACATACTAAAAACTCATGAAAATCAGAGTGTCGCACTTGGATAGGTTTATTTGTAAGATACCGGTTGAATGATTGTTGTGAAATTCGTAACATAAGAATAGATAAGAATATTTCACAACGCGTATCTTTCTCTCGGAAAGTATAAGACACGTGCCGTGCGACTGCTCGTGGTGTACTCCGGACTCTGCGACGTAGACGTAACTAATATAGCGTGCGCAATATGACGTGCAATACGTATAGTAGAAGAGAGTGAAGAATGAAAAAACGCAACGAGTCCTTTTTACAGAGTATCTCTTATTGTATACGTTACGTACGTGCAGAAGGGAATTGATGCAAGCTTGAATGATGTTCTCACCGCGAACGGTTTGTGCCAACGTTCGATGGGAAGCAACGTGAATACTCTCGCTTCGACGTTCCTTCGACAATGAACGTTGTCCTGAACGCCGAGATGGGAGTTTCACTGTGTTTTTCACAGTTCACTGGGCAACAGCAATGAGTCAGCTGACGGGGGGCGGAGCGACGCAAGCGCAAGTCACGCGAGGGAGCTAGTGGGACAGGAAACGCGATAGACGAAAGCCAATGAAAGTAGTGGATTTCATCATTCTTGTTATCGTCAGTTATCGTCGTCATTGTCGTTCGTCCACGTTTGCATCGGTTTCGTCGTTCGATTATCCCCATCTGTAGTAAAGTGCGAATGTCCCGCGTTCGTCGTACGATCTACGACATTGTCGTTAGGTGATCAATGGTAGCCAGACGCATTTAGTAGCCGCTGCTCAGCCGCGCTTTCTTATCTAGCTTCGACGAAGGCAGCCTTCTATACCAGTGCGTATAAAGGTTACTTCTGACCGAGGTGAACGATCTGCCGCGCGTCTCCAGACCACGCCAGTCGCCTCTTTCCTCGGGATTCTAGAACTTCAGCCCTGGTAACTGCTCCTTCTCGGTTGCATCACGATGACGAGGCTGCTCTACGTCCTTTTCATCTTGGCCTGCATCAATGGCACCTTCGGAGACGGGCTCAAGTGTAAGTTTCCAATGGTTTGCAATCGACATGCGTAAGTTCCCCCCTCCCCGCCCCCTCTTCTCCCAGCATTGCTTGGCATTGCTCTTCGCGTTGTTTGGTCCTCTTCTCTCCGATGTAGAAAAACTGCTTTCATCATTTGATCACATCTTGAAGTGGAATGAGGTGAAAATTATCAGAGTGAGCAAATTCTCGAGATATTAATTAATGTGAGTTATTCTAGTGGGTTCATTCACTTTTGTAATTTTCACTTCGTCGTTTCCAAATTGATCCCAAAATACGACGAGAAGTACTCTGACTTTTGCACGCCTCGCGTGAAAAATAATGGTTCCGCGTTAAAAACAGTAAGCATGTGAATGCAATCAATAGTTTATTTTGATTGATCACTGTGACCTTTGAAAGTCGTCCAAGCTCTTTCCATTGACTTGCTGGGCCCGTTTGTATCTGTTCTACCAATGATAAGATTATATCTCGGTTTATCTTTTTCTAATTCTTCTGTTTCCTTTCCAAATTTGACTCACTCTGATAAAACAAATCACTTCTATTATTACTTTCTATCTTTTCAAATTAACTACCTATATTTGTATAATAATAAAGAACAAAAATAATATTATATATAATATGTACATTTGTGATTAGACACGCATATTATACTTATTGTATAAATATAAAATCTTGAAAGAAATTTCAACACTATATTTTGTTCTATATACATAATATACGGACATAAATGATTTTCAATTGTTTTATTAAATGTATCAAGGGAATAGTCTCTGTCTCTTCTTTCTCATTCTCGGATATTGCACAATTGACTAAGGAAACAATAAAATATTTATGTATAAGCATCAACTAGGAGACGTACAAATTATGCTAAATCATGCTCAATGAAATGTACGAATTATGAAATTGAAATAAACGTATTTCTTAATGATAAATTTAAGTATAGTCTTGCAGTCATGTTCTTTAAAAGTTAGTAACAAGGAAACACATTTGATCTTTGTGACACATGTACATACGTCATGGTTTTTTCTATTTGTGTATGTGTGTGTTATCTGTATTATTTTTATCCACAGATGACATAATTTAATCAAAACTTGTTTTTATGACGACCCGATTTGATATTACCAATATTATTGCTTTGTTAAGTACATGTATAAATGAAGATTAGAGTCGTCAGAGAAAATCGTTTGCAGAAAATGGACAGAACTATTATCAGTACACAATAAAGAGAGCTGTATAGTCACTTTCGATACACAATAGGTTCAGACTGTGGTCTTTTGTGACATCTATGTGACTCGACGATCATGAAAATTTCTACTTATTTAAAATTTACATATGTAAATTTTATTTAAAAATGTGAAAAAGGTGTCTTTTCACTTCGTCAGTAGAGGAAGAAAATTTAATTAGTCTTGTAGAAAAGATTTTTTTTACTTATAATCATGACAGTTTAATCAAATGATTAATTCTTATCAAGCATATGTTGCATATATACTTATCTCTTCATCATTGAATCGACCTTGTTTTGCACAAAGATAGACTTTGATGACAAGTCGCGATGGGGATGTATACATACCGATTTCAAAGTCCGTCTCAATCTATATGACTCATCCTCACTGACGTCTCTGCTACATCTATGCTACGTGTGATACAAGTTCATTATGATAAGTGATGATTCGATCCTAATTCATTTGCGTATTTTCAGTAAAATATATTTAATTCTATTGCATTCTAATACAAAAGCAATTATAATTTATAACTATTGTTATATCATTTTAAATTATACATGAGATATTTTTTAGAAATTAATTTATAACATAAGCATTAATAACAATTAATATATATTATGATTAAGAATAATTTTTTTTCCAACGCGCGTAAAAAAGTAGAAATAAAAATATCAATAAAAATAGAAATAATATTACACAAAAAGTAACTTGTGATTATTCTTATAATGTTAATCATTTACTGCTAACAGATGCTATCCACATTATAAGCGATCAGTCACGCATCAATAAAATACTTGATCTTTTTGATAACTGAGTGATAAGTAATACGTGTGTTTTTGTTATCTATTTATTAAAAGATGAGTTATCACGCAATATAGTAGACAAATTTCATCATAGACAATTAAATTCAATAAGGCTTGTATTTGTACATATAATAATTAATCATTTTACATCTCTTTAGGTCTTCTTAAACCTGCTGATATACCAACATCATGGATAGACATGACTGATCCATGCACGAAACTCATGGAGTCTCAAGTTAAAACTGAAATGGAAGCTGCTATGAAATATCTTGCGATGGTACATAGAATAGTCTGCTTGCGCTAATATATATTTTTCTCTCTCCTCTCTTATTCAATAATATATACAGTGTAATCTCTACAACCTGTTAAATTATAATAACTTAAACAGATTAACTAGTAATACCATTGAGACATTTAATTTTTCATTATATAGGGTGCCCACTTTGCACGTGATACTATAAATCGTCCAGGCTTTAGCAAGTTCTTTTTTGAAAGTGCGAGCGAAGAGAGAGAGCATGCGATAAAGATCATCGAATATTTACTAATGCGTGGACAACTTACAAATGATGTCAGCAAACTTCTCAAGTATTCTTTGGTGAGTGTTCTACTTTTCACGAGTAAATACAACTCGCACAAATAGTTTTGAATATTAAGTAAAGATGGTGAAAAAATAAAAAAAAAATGTAAACAGTAACGCGATTTTTCTCTCATTATCATACAGACTACCAATAATACAAATCCGATACGCCAGGAGTGGAATACTGGAGAAGAAGCTCTCACTGATGCTTTGAAATTGGAGGCTCAAGTTACGCGTAGTATTCGTGATATAATCATAACGTGCGAAACTCCAAAAACATCTTCTTTCAATGATTATCATGTGAGCATTGTTTAAAAAAACAATTAATCATATATATATCAAATTTTGGAAAGAGAGGTGGCCCGCTTGACACGAAATGTCTTATATATATAAATTACTCACTGTTCGTGTCATAATTGTTTGCAGTTGGTCGACTACCTCATTACCGATTTCTTAGAGGAACAATATAAAGGACAACGCGACCTCGCAGGCAAAATCTCAGTGTTGGGTAAAATGATACAAGCGCACGGACCTTTGGCAGAATTTTTATTCGATAAGAAATTATTGAGTGGTGAAGTCTAAGTGTTTTGGTGACATCAAAAAATATATACTGAAATTTATAGCTCAATCTATAAATTTCTCTTTTCTATAAATACATAAAATTTATAAAATTATAATGGCCACATTTAGGATACATTATATAATTCAGATTATTACCATGTACAATCTTGTTTATATTTTATTGTAGAAAGATATATAATTAACAATTTTTGTTTATCGAGCATATTTCTAAATGTGGCCTGTAATATTATAAGAGTATGCAAAGCATAATGTTTGTTAATCTATAACAAGTATATTATCCTTGATAAATACATAAATAAATAAATAAACATTATTTTGAGATGCTGCATTATTTGATTATTGTACTTACACATTAATTAAACATAGAAATTAATCTGTAAATTATAACTGTGTCAGAGAGAGAGAGAGAGAGAGAGAGAGAGAGAGAGAGAGAGAGGGAGAGAGAGGGGGGGGGAGGGAGGGAGGGAGGGAGGGAGAGATGATAGAGCTTATGAAAGAAATTTGATAAAAAATTTTTCCTGTTTTTTATTTTTTTAATCGTTATACTATAATTATGTGCAAGATACATGATATGAATAATTTGTTAAAATGGCAAATATTTTCATGATAATATTGTAATTAAATTTTATAATTACTTACACATATACTTACACAAGTATGTACTTATACAAAACATTATAAATCTTTTATAAAGTATCTTGTATACAGTTAATTATTCAATTAACTTTTTGAGAGAATTGGTATAATAAATTTATATATAAGTACATATATTTAAGATATTTCTTAAGATAATAACTATTGTGTATCACCATGATGTGGATTATCACCTTTTTGCGTTCTTTCTCTTATTCATTAATTCTCAACATTTTATTTAATAAAATTATTACTGTTTTACTGCCAAAAATTTACAATGACTACCTAATTTGACGATTTTATTGACTCGCAACATTACGATATGATACAGGACATGAAGAATACTAAAAACCATATATATTTTATAGATTTCCGATAATTTTACAATTATAATGTATTTACTGTAACATTGAGAATGACTCGACCGGCGTCGAAACGTTTGTTATATATTATTCTTATTATATTTTTAAATTAAACGTTCTTTTATTATATAACTGACTCCTAGCTCTTCAATTGTTCTAATTTGTTTTATTCTTACAGAGCCTATATTATTATTTTATTATTTTATATGTGTTCTGGTAAAATTGTGTAATATTAAAAAAAATATTTCAAGTATTATTTAACTCGTATTCTCTTACCCATAGAGATAGTCAAGGCTGCGCAAAATAAAAGGAACAGAAAACAGTGAATAAAAATTTCAACCTATCAGAAATCATATACTGTGGAATAAACAGTATTTATTCCATAGTACGTGATTTCTGAGTAGCGTATAGCGCAAACTGCCCGCCATTTTTGACATATACAACACGGTGCGAAATATGAACGAGATAAAGTTTGTCTCTATAGGAGAAAAAAAGGAAAAAAGATGAACTGGTGTGCAAAAGTTCAGCTAAAAAGAACAGGTCTATAGGCTGCCTTCACTATATATGTGAAAATCGAGATAACGCACCCCTGCTTTCCAATTTTTTCACAGTGTATAGTCTTTATCTAATTAGTTCCACCTTTATTTACTATCCAATCAAAAATAGAACAAATTTAACCAGACTCTTACTTCTATAGGAACACTAGTTTCAGTGTAATCTGGAGAATTTTTCGTAGCTACATGCTGCATTTGGTAGAATATTTGATTTGCTTTCTAAACGAAAACGCGTGTCTCCGTTACTTTCAGTAATAATAATTTAAAAATTCGGATCAAGATTGATGTCAATATAATATCGTATAGTATAGAGAGATAATTAATTTGAGAAGAAGAAGGTTGAGTGATAATAATCGAGAGATTTATCTCTTACTAAATGGTTTTATTTTGTGAATAGTAAAACAAGTGATTGTACCCAAAGAAATTTTATATTCCGAGCTCTATATAGGACTGTATGCATATACATCAAGTAATCATAGTTAGTCTTTGCGGTATAAATAAAGGTATATTATTTATGTATGTATTTATTCTTTAGTTTCACTTATTAATAGCATTATCAAATATATTATTAATCAAAAAAACGCCTTATGTTTAACGATTTGTCATTCTAAGTATTGAATTAAGTATCATACATTTTTTTTACAAGGTATATCTCATTGTTATTACACAATGCAAGCGTAACTGCTGATTGCTTAATTGGCAATACGTGTATCTCGTTGCTGTGGTACTTTTGAGAACATTACTACGACTTTATCAATAATTATGTGCGAGCAACTTATAAACGAATATTATATTAATCTAGAATACGATAAAAACAACAAAGAGGTGAATATGACCGTGACATTGGGTTGGGATGTACGATTTGACCGGATGCGCGCGCGCGCGCGTGTGTGTGTGTGTCGCGTGTTTTGTGAGATCACGCGCATATATCTAAACATGTTCCGAAAGAAGATTAGATTATGAAATATGATATTCAATATTAGAGTGTTTATGAACAAAAAGCTTTATATTTATATTATCAGTAAAGATACTCTTTTTGTCCATATTTTCAGAAAGCACTAACAGAAATATTCAATTTATCTAGAAAAATAAAATTTAAAGACACTGATGATTTTTCAACAAGGTAAATAAACATTTAATTAATCTGAAGTTATATATTACAAGTGACATGGTAAAAATGTAATACTTATTTCCACCCTTAATCATTCTTATTTTTATTTTTATTCGTCAACAGATTTCTTAAAGCAGCATCTATAATAGAGAAAAATGTTTCTCTTTTCAATTCTGTGTGTGAACACGTAGATATAGTTACTACTATCCTTGAATACTTGACAAATTTCGGTGTAAAATTTATGTTTGATATTGAGTTTGGTATGTACATATACGATATTTTTGTCAAGCATATATTTATAAAAATATATTATTTCTGTTTTACTTACAAAGTTATGAATTGTATATATATAAATCACATATTAGATAATTTGATGAGAAATTCTTTCTTCTTGAATTTTTATTTTATTTTCTATAGACAATTTAGACGAAGAATATAATAAAGAAGAAATAATCTTATCGGTAATACTTACAATCTTCAATATATGTACAGAACACAGAGTGCAATTATTTCTAGAAAATACTATCATGTAATTGTGCCTTTTAATTTATTTAACACAAGTCTACTTATATTTTTTATATTATTAGGTGTACAAATTAGTTCGGTCCGTTTTTTGTGTTGGAAAATGCATTTATTTTAAAACAAAATGAATGAACAGATTAATTAAAGTATTGTCCATTGTTGGCTACTATTTTTTCCTATCTCTCAGGCAATTTTTGAATTCCATTTCGAAAAAATGACTCGTCTTTGGAGGTGATCGTTTTTTGGAAAACTAATTTGGACCAAACTAATTTGTACTCCTAATAATATTCTAATATATCATACAACACGTTTGTACACACAGCAATTTTATAGATATATTATTTTTGTTTCAGCAAAAATTCAATACTAAATCAAATTCAATACAATTTTTTGAAAAATGAACTTTTAAGTAAGAATAACATATTTGTGTAATAAAATTATGTTAATTTTTTAATGAAGATTTTTAAATTTTGCATAGATCAAACCAACGAAATGATACTTCTAAAGGATTCGGACCTATACACAGTTATTAACTATTTAATGAGAATGGGAAGTTCTCGCATAAATAGAATTTGGGTCCAAATAACAATTAAGCAGAAATTTTTGTTGCTTATAAAGAAATATTTTCAATGTAAAGACTTTCATATATTTAAATCGATCATTCGTATATTTAAATCAACGAAAGAATTTACATCCCATACGTTATATAATATGAATATAATATCTATATGGTCAGAAGATATTGTATATGCAAGATATTTAGCAACAATTTTAAATGTATGTGTACTAATTAGGTATTTAAAGCAGTATTACAAAGTTTCATAAACATTATTAAAATATATAATTTCCATTGTTAACTCAGAGTAACATTATATTTATAAATATGCATATGGATCTTTATGGTGGTGACATACTTTTACCATATGTAAAAGTATTTAGCAAAATGCATGAAGGATTTAAGCCTACTTTCCATAATAATTCGATACGAGTACCAAATGCAAGCGAAATAAATCTGTCACATGTTCTCAACAAGGAATTTATAACGATCTGTAATTTATTTTATGATGGCGAATGGCACAAACCTGTAAGAAATATGTATTGGAAATGTAGTAACATGTTATGGGCGAATGCAACAAGGTATAAATAATGCATGTGTATTTTTAAATTTTAATTTTTTTTTCTTGGCTTTAAGAAGTTTGATAAAATTTGTACATTAAATGTAATCGATTATCTCTTGTTACAGAGATGATGTTAAGATTTGTTTGAATTCCGCTATAGAAGGATTCAAGATTTGGAAAACTTGGTCAATTACGAATAGAATAGACGTGTTATCTCAAATGATAACAATGCTAAATTATAATAGGTTAGATTATTAAAATTTTATCTACCGATCTATATCCTCTTAATTTTATATAGATTTATATATCTTATATTTACTCTTTGGATATTTTTCAATAATTTGTTTACACTTATTTTTATCTCTTTTGCTCTCTTTAGTAAATTTTCGAAAAACATATCAAAATTCTCCAACTTCACTCGAGCATGGTTACTTTATTCTCAAAATAACAGATTAGAAATAATTCAAAATCGTATTCCAAGAGGCATTATCATTCTCAAGGAAAAATCTGAAGAAATTTTGTTTCTTCGATTGGTACAAATTTTAATTTCCGGCAATTGTGTTATTGTAATAGCTGATAAACATTCCTGTAGTTTGGCACCATATTGCGATATATTTTCAACATCTAAGATACCACGAGGTGTTATAAATTTTCTGTTTAACCAAAATACAAAGGATTTAGAATTAAGTTTATGTGAAACAGATTACGTGAACTATGAAAAACAGTTATTCACATCCAACTTTGACAAAATGTATATGAATCTTACATTATCTAAACAAATTGTATTCTCTCTTAAATAATTTTTTTAACTATTCTGTAAGGGCTACGCAGAATAAAAGAAACAGAGAACAGAGAATAAGAATTTCAACCTATCAGAAATCATATACTGTGAAATAAACAGTGTGTATTCCATAGTACATGATTTCTGATAGGTTGAAATTCTTATTCTCTGTTCCTTTTATTCTGCGCAGCCTAATGCTGGATTCACACTGCATCCGACACACGGAATGCTCGTTATTGGTTCTGCTCTCGTTCCGCGTTACGCTATTCCGCTGCATTAGAGTCCTAGATATCAGAGAAGCGCAACTGGCTTAAGTCAGTATCGCAAAATTACTGAGAAAAGTAATAAAAATGGCGTCGTTTGCAGACGAAATATGATATCCACCAATCGTCTATTAGTCAGCCATTTTTAATACCACTGAATGAATGTCATGATTGGTTGACAATCAGCTAATCAGGACGCGGAACATCGGTTGCGCTTCTCTGATATCTAGGACTCTACGCTGCATGGGTTTGCACCCTTAACTGTCGGTAGGCGTGTAAAAACAGTTAAGCCAGAAACACATAGAAAAACGTAAGGCCGTAAAACGAATCAGTAAGGAAATCATAAAGCGGGGAGCACAGACTTTTGCATAACGCATAAACCATATACATAAAGAATTTGATTGGTCCATTGACTCATGCATAAGAAAATGGGCCAATGAAATTCCTTATGCACATGTTTTATGCGTTATGCAAAAGTGTGTGTTTCTCGCCTAACATTGGATCGCTACCGGCCTTACGATCTCTACTGTGATTGGCCAATTCGCTTACTGATTATGTTTACGGCCTTACGTTTTTCTATGTGCCATGGGCTTTATGGGCCTTCTACAATAAGCCATAAGTCATAAATCGGAAGTAAGAAACTAAAAATTGACGACTGTGATTGGTCCATTTCAAGCTTATGACTTAAGATTTGTGACTTACGGCTTATTGTAGAAGGCCCATTAGGGCTGCACAGAATAAAAGAAACAGAGAACAGAGAATAAGAATTTCAACCTAAGGCTGCGCACAATGGAGGAACAGATATTAGATATTAAAATATTAACCTATCAGAATCGTGTATTTCGGTGTAACTGGTATCTGATAGGTTAATATTTTAATATCTAATATCTGTTCCTCCATTGTGCGCAGCCTTAGAAATCATGTACTACCTACATACTATGGAATACACACTGTGAATACACACTAAGAGCACTAGGAGTTAAGCGCAGATAACTTTACGCAAACGCTGATATATTATCAAACAAAACTTGTTTATTATAATAATTGTGCTTATATGTTTCGGCTCATTTTTTAGTCTTCTTCAAATACAATGCAAATTACATAAATAAATTATAAATAAAAAATAATAAAAGGATCAAGTGATGTTTAATCACAGTGAGCTCCCCCACAACCAAAAATAAAATCTGATGTTAATTCCATCTTACAGAACATATTAATATAAAAAGAAATAATTAAAGAAAAAAAAGAGAGAAATTAATAGTATGCTGAAATTCTGGGTTAATTTCGAAAATAGACTTATCATAATTGCAATTATTCTACCGGGAGTGAGGAGGCTCACAATGTTCACAACGATACCGTACCGCAAACATTCTCAATATTCAAAAACCGATCTTTAAAATAATTTAGGCCAATCAGTCTCAGATACAGTGAGTCACTTCAATCCTGTTTTCTGATTGGTTGCAGATTCGTCGTATGACGAAAATCGGATGCAGTGTGAATCCAGCTGAATCCTACATAAAGCCCATTCTACATTGGTCGTATCGTAGCATCGTATTGCTGGATTCACATTGCATCCGATTTTCGTCGTACGACGACTCTGCAACCAATCAAAAAAACCGTATCATCGATACGAAGTAAAATTTTGTTTTCTGGGCCGGGATTCTCTAAACGTTTTAGCGATGATTGTCGCTATTGTTAACTAGCGACAGCCAATGAGAGTCGCGCTTTCTTTTAGGATTGTCCTGCCATTGGCTGTCGCTAGTTAACGATAGCGACCATCATCGATAAAACGTTTAAGAGAATCCCGCAACTGATTGGTTTCAGAGTCGTCGTACGACGAAAATCGGATGCAGTGTGAATCCAGCATAAGCGTCGTGAGACTTTAAATTGACACATCGGATTGGCTGTTGCAACAAATTTGTGACCTGCGATGCCTACGATACGATCAATGTAGAATGGGCTTAATAAGGCCTGTTCTTTTTGGCTGAACTTTTGCACAATCAAAATCATCTTTTGGTCAATCACGTAACTTTTTCTCTAGGGCGGAAACGTGAAAAGTGAAAACTTTTATGAATGTATGTATGAACATATACACACATCATGCAAAAAATTTTCACTTTTCACGTTTCCGCCCTAGGGGAAAAAGTACGTGATTGACCTCTGTGCCTGTATTCTGTAACTCGTTAAGGCAGTTAACGACATTGTTGCGCAGCTTTTTATACCATAATAGGCCTTCTACAATAAGCCATAAGTCATAAATCGGAAGTAAGAAACTAAACATTAACGACTGTGATTGGTCCATTTCTAGCTTATGACTTATGATTTGTGACTTACGGCTTATTGTAGAAGGCCCATAAGATATCTGCGCAACGATGTCGTTAACTGCCTTAACGAGTTACAGAATACAGGGGCTGGACAGAATAAAAAGAAAGATAAACTGGTGCAAAAGTTCAGCCAAAAAGGACAAAGATTGATATGTCGCACTAATGCCTAGTTCACACTGGATGCGATGGGCGATGAACGACGAGCGATATCCAATAAAAGCTTTGCTTTAGCTCACACGACGATGTAAAGCAGAGTTCTTATTGGTTATCGCTCATCGCGCCTAGTGTGAACTAGGCATAAGGGTGCAGTCACATGGAGCAACATGGAGTCAGAAATAGCGGAACGGAACAACAACGGAAAAGGCAAATGGAAGGGGTTAACCAATGCCCAATTAGCATACCATATTTAAGAAACATTGGGCGAGTTCAAGACGACAAAGCGGCTAGGTACGCTTGCCGAGCGATCGAGTATGATTGGTTGGATCTATAAGTAATAACCAATTATATTCAATCGCTCGGCAAGCATACCTAGCCGCTTTGCCGTCTTGAA